AAATAAATGATTATTAGTGTGAGTGTCCATGATTGGGAGTATTTTCGTCGTGTTAANGTGTGAGTGTCCATTATTGGGAGTATTTTCGTCGTGTTATAGTCGATAACAAAACCGGTTGTGTACCTGCCTTACTTTTTGATGCAATACGATTATGTTGATAACGACACACGTTTATTTTATGTAGTATAAAAACTATAGTTTAGCAACCAGCCTCACTGTAAATACTAATAGACGTGTCATGATTTCACAAATTTTAATTAATTATAAAAATAATTAAAATATTTTTTTTCGACGATTAAGAAAAACTAAATNTATTTATTTTCGACGATTAAGAAAAACTAAATATTTACAGAAAACAAGTTAAATCATATGAGATCCACATCGATTATTTTGAAGTTATAAAACTATAAAAAAACTAATTTTAATTATAAGAATTCAATTTACAAAATTACATTATTTACACACTAAAATATTTAAGTTTTATAAGCCTATTCTTATGGGAAGTCCTTTATCATTCACTTATCCATTTTCAATTGCAAACCTTGTTTCTTCTTTCCCCGTTAACTCTATCGAATTCCATGCAGTTCTTTCAGTTAGCTTAGCAATATAATCATGATATTTTTGATACGTCTTATTACTCATACATGGCATATTTAGTACAGCAGAAAACTGTTCTAAATTTGTAAACCCCTGACTAGTATTCAAAGTAGCAGTAACAACTGCAGTGTTTATACTAACAGAATCATTTAATTTGGGATCCTCTGAATAAATAATTTCTTTTTTTTTTGCAAAAATTACATTCAAAGTGAAATTCTGGAAAAAAAAAACCCCTTTGAACTTCAGTTTTAAATACAAGATTTGAAAAATTACAGGCAAATAACTCGTGTTTAATTGATTTCAAACTATTAAAAAAATGTTCAATATTTATTATTCTACGATTGTTTAAATTATAACTAAAATAGTTAAATATGTGTATTAATTTCATTGTAAAATAATACTATAAAAAATAAACTAACTCTTTTTGAATAACTGGTTAACTTCTGAAGAAATTTTTTTACAAGTATCAAGAGTTTGTGCACTGGGCGACAATGGTAAAAAAACATAAAAACTATCATCTCCAATTTTTCTAAAGAAAAAAAAATGTTTGTTTCTAATAAATTATATTTTAACCTTGCCCTTCTTTAAAAATTTTTCTTCGTGAAAAAATTACTCTCTCATTTATTAAATTCTCCTCGTTACTTGTTTGCGCCGCAAACTTTGCGGTATGTCAAGTAAAATGTTAGTTTGAGAATTGGAAACATTCTACCAAAATAATGTATATTGTATTTATTTTTTAATTTTCATGTGTAGCTGAAGTGGTATCTTGATTTTACAATAATGTGTTTTTTATTTACAAATTTTTTCTTCTAATAAGAACTATTAATTTTCAGTCTGATGGTGTACCTAAATCATTTTTTTTTTTGAAATGTCACTTATACCTCATGAATTCTAAGCACTTCGTATTATAATAAATATAGGTTATATCTCATTATCACTCAAATCTGACCACCTTTTTTTAAAAAAATGATTTCCTTATTTTTATTGTATGTAGTTTAAAATTCATTTTATTCATAACATCAGTTACTTAGTGTTAGATCTAGTTTGATAACATAGTGTGCGACTGAGAAAAACACGTTTTTGTGACAGATTTAAAGAGAAATTATTAAAATATAATGCTGAATACATCAACAAGATATATTTTTTGATCTTTTGGCGTATCGTTGAACAATAAATGTCCAGTAGGTACAGATATGGATAGACACAAGCAAAAAACACATCATAGTAAAACTAATACCTTCTCAGTTTTCTATCGAAACTAAGAAAGTGTATAAAAATTATTTTTATATATTCTTACCTCACCAGATATTTTTTTATGACTTCCCATTTTTTAGCGACACTTATATAGGAATACAACAACAAAATTTGTTTCTTACTATGTAATGATGACAGGTTTGCAAATAAGATAAAAGCAAATAATCTAATATCATATATACAGGTATAATATCAAGTATGCATTGTAACTATTTTTAGGCAGTCGGTATTGCCCTAGCAACCTATGGGCAATAAAATAGCTGCAGCGGATAATGCACAAACGCGCACGAGCATGTCACATTTAACAGCTACTGTTTGAAAACCATTAGTTTGAGCGTACAAAACAACCCGTTTTTGTTCCATCAGTACGACAAAACTACTGATGCGATAAGAATTCTGAAAACAAATTTGAATTTAGTATCATGTCACTTAGGTATCGGTCAGGCCACTTTTTTGAAAGTGTGATTCCTTCAACGTAAAAAATTATTTTGAAAATTTTAAAATTATTCGAAAATAAAAACTGTAATAAAGGGTTAAAAACATCAAAATTTTAAAAATATGGCCTGACCGATACCTAAGTGACATGATGCTGAATTCAGATATGTTTTCAGAATTCTTATCGCATCAGTAGTTTCGTCGTACTGATGGAACAAAAACGGGTTGTTTTTGACTAAAAAGCGGTCGGTACCCAGACGCCTTAATTCATACTACTCATTACAAAGTTTTGATCTACAAACTTCATATTTATGTAGCCTTTATAAATGTCATAAAAAAAAGAAACTATGTTAAGAATTAAAATTCACGGAAAGACTTTAGTTGAATGTATTATTTGCTAGACAGGTATTAATGTTAAAGTTTGTAAAGAATATTTCAAAAAATCATTTAACTTATATGATAGTTCATTAAAAAAATTCCAACCACTAAATCTCATTATTGAAGAGATGATAACTTAGATAAAAATTTTAAGTCCTAATTTAAATATTTCTATTATGTAAAATCTATACAAACAAGAATTTAGCAATGAACCAGTCTTTATGTACATTCAGAAATATTTTTTACAGAGATTTTAATATATCTTTTCTTTCACCTATATCAAATAGTTGTAAACGGTATGACATACACAATATGAAAATTAAAGTTGCTCCTGAACATGAAAAAGTACAATTAAATACTGAACATGAGTTACATCTCAAAAATGCCGAATAAGCATGAACTGGAATGAGTGCTTATGTAGAGTTATGCAAGACTGATCTTAATAAAGTAACTTTAATTGCATTCGATCTAATGAAAACACTTGTTACTCCATCTCTTTCTTTTAAAGTAACTTATTACAAAAGGCAGTTAAGTACATACAAATTGTGAATACATAATTTAACCACAAATCATGCTTATATATAAATATTTGTAATGAAATATAAGACCCACTAGAAATTGAATCATGCTTATTACACTTCATAGAAAATTATGAAAATATAGTACATTAATTATGTATAGTTACTATACATGTGGAGGAAAAAATCATAATATCAAAAAGTTATTCAGAGTACTTCAAAAAAATGCATTTGAGGTAATACAAATGAGTCTAGAAGATTTTAAAACAACTTCATTACTTAAAAAGGATATTTGTAATAGAAAAATTAACGGAGATAAATAAACAGTTGAAAATCCAGTAGATATATTTTGCAAAAGACAAATCTTATGAAATGTTTTATAAATATTCTAATAATGATTTTATTAGTTTTTATTAAGTTAATATTTCAAAATATGCAATGGCTATGATAATCTTAAAAGAGAATCATTTTGTTAACTTTGAAAATATTTTAACTGTTAATAATTCACTGTATATACTTTGTAATTTAATATATGTGATATTGGTAAAAAAATATCAAAAAGCTGAATTTTTTTTATTAAATAATATTATTTGAAAACAAATAGAAAATATGCGGTTAAAGCATATAAAAAATATTATAATATTGTTACTTTTTTAAATATTTTGGCTGTTCATTTTATTATAACAATTAATTAAAATGTGTGATATTTCTTATGTAGATAAATGAGGAGACTGAATTATATTTTCTTAAGATAATATTAATAGAAAATGTTATTCGAGATTGTTAAGTGTTTTTTAAAAGAGTTAAACTACTACAGATATTGATTTAAAATGTAGTATTATCTTTATACCTGTTATTTTAAATAAAAGTTTAAATTTTATAAAATTGACATAAGTTAAGTTTATTTTTAATTCAAAATCTGATCTAAGAATATTTTTTTTTGAAAACTTGATATTGTACAATCAGGTAACAAGTAACAAGAGTACTTAGAACATGAACATTTTTACAATATGAAAAACAATTGTTTGTAATAGACTTTAGCTATTATGAGTTTAGTCATAATTTGTAAACAATTAATATATCAGTTACATAATTAAAGATGAGATAAAATATTTAGTTTTAGTAAACTTCATATATCGGTTAAAGTAGAAATTTTCAATGCAAGCAGGAAGTTTAAACTTTCTGTACAGAAAAAATTAAATATCTATTATTAGAGTATTTTGCTGAGTCTAGGAATATCAAAATATTCTATTTTATTATTTTGCACAAAAGAACCTTTTTACGCTAAACGGCAATATGTTGATTTCAACAATTATTTTAAGTATCAAAATAATGCAAAATTTTATACATAGCATAAATATACTCGCGGTATAGTTGGTTTAAATAATTCATGAGTAAACCGGGCCAGATTACTGAAAATACTCCCCAACCAAGTCAGATCGATTCTCATAAACCCAGTCGGAAATTAACATCTTACGAAATAAATGATTTTTATAAGTATTTCAACTTTTCGATCTTCTTTTCACATTTGTTTGCTTAAAATTCCATAATTGTAGGACTTTCAGAAACATATATAAAGCTACATAGTTTAAGAACAAAACAATTTTTTATTTACGCGTAAATATATACATTTCTAAATAAATAAAATCCATTCATTAACATTATAATAATAACAATAATTGTATAAGTAAATTTGTGTATTTTACATAATTTCAACATCATTCATAAAAGTGATAACAGATTGTTATCAACGCTCATTTATGTTTATCAATCGATACACACGTTTATAATATAATAATTATAACGTTAACAGACATGTTAACAGCACATGTTAAACTGTTTTGTTTATATGTAGTAATATTAATTATATACTTCCTTTAATGAATTAAGAATTAGTATAGTTTTAAATAAGTAAATTTAAAACATTTTACGATGCGTGAACTTTGATTTTAAATAAAAATATCTATCTTTTATACTCAAATTATCATGAATATTTCTATTAGACTAGCATCGGAAAAAACTAGACATGGCATATTAAAGCCTACATCAAATCCTCCTGTTATATTTACGCCTGGTGAAAAAATTCGTGAAGAAGTTGGATTTATGAGGTATTAGTTTATTAATCTAATTTTTATGTAAATAGATATTTGTAATTTTGTAGACCATCTTATAATAATTAAATTCTTTATTGAACACTAAATGTTTTATATTATTGGAATATTGACTGAATAACAACATTGATTTAAGATTTAAAATTTGCTAAAATATCTCGTCTTTTTTGAAATGGTACATAATGTGTATTGTTATTAGTTTGTTAAATTAAGTATCAGCCTTGTAATTGTTCCAACAAACCATTTCTAGGATAATGGACTTGTAATTTTTTCTATTGTTCAAAAGACCTTACTCTTGAAAATGGTAGCAATGAATAGTGATTGATTATCCCGTGATGGTTTGATATTTTTATGCAACCAAAAAAATATATATATTTTGTAATAATCTAATAGTTGATATTTGATTGTTTTATGTTTTTCAAGAGGTCATGGAACTTATGCATCTAAAGGTTCATTAAAAGCTACTGTAGCAGGGGTTGAACAAAATATTAATAAACTAGTAACCATTAGCCCGTTACGATGTCGCTACAATGGAGAAATTGGCGATGTTGTTGTAGGTCGTGTTACCGAGTTGATTCATAAACGTTGGAAAATAGAAATTAATTCAAGGCTCGATGCTGTACTGTTATTAACATCAATACAATTACCAGGAGGAGAATTAGTAAGTATTAATTATTTTTAATTTATTAATTTATTTTATTATTCAATATAAACTTATATATCTAGAGCGTAGAAAGTTTTTAATTTTATTGATTATTATTTAGATTGTCAGTCTGATAATCATTATACTTATTAATTATATATTAATTATTAAGTTGCTGTTTTTTATATATTAAGCCAAAATATTTTATAGAGAAGAAGAGGAATGGAAGATGAACAATCTATGCGAAGTTATTTAAGTGAAGGTGATCTTATAAGTGCTGAAGTTCATTCTATGTTTGCTGATGGATCATTATCATTACATATGAGAAGTTTAAAATATGGAAAAGTAATATAGATATTTTGTGCTAAAATAGCTGTTTAGGTTCCTGTCCTATTTACCACAAATAATAATTAAAACACAAAACATTAAGGAATAGCTAATTTTTATGTTTTATCAATCGGATTTTATTCATATTTTATATTATTTATTGTATTTTAACCAACATTATAAGAAAATGGACACTATATATATATATATATATATACAGTCATTTATTTTGGGTAAGAAACTCTATTTCAGAAACTATTGAAAATTTTTATTTAAAAACTTTTAAAAAATTAAAAATGTCATATTATTTTGAAAAATGGATATAATCAACATAATTTTTTTTTTCTATAGATACATGCGGTATTTACCTATCATTTGGTATATATATTTTTTAAATCTGACCTTTTATCTGGCCACGGGAGAATTTAAAATGATAACTTATCCACAAAAATTAATTTTTGAAAGTATTCTGGAAATATTGACACTTTTATATATATATTAAATTAATGCTAATTTAATATGCTTTATTATGGAAAAAAAATTTTTGGAATTTCTTTTGTCTTCACAATAAATGATATTTTTTATTAAAATTCTCGATTTTATATATTACATTTTTAACTTTATATTTCTATAAATTTTTGAAAAATGTATGAATCAATACAATTCTTTTATGATAAACATTGTTTATATACTTCTTTCATTGAACATCCTTTTTTTTTAAATCGAATCATTTCCCTTTATACAGCGGGGTTCAATCTTTAAATATACTAATAGAAACTAGATCCTTTTTAACTTAATTTTTAAAATTGTTCCTGAAATACTGACACCTTTATACATATCTTAATTTAAAGCTTGTCATACACTTTAATATGAACAAAAAAAATTTTGAACTTAACATTGTCTTCACAATGAAAATGGTTACTGTATTCATAAATATACTAATTGTGTGTTAAAATTTTCGGTTTTATTTTATTTTAAAAACCTTACAAGGGGTGTATATTGATTTTCATAAATATTATATAAATCTAATTGACATAGAATAGAATTTTGCTTCTTTTAAGTTGAGAAAAATAAATTTGAACTAACTTAAACTGCTATTTTTATCCACAGAAGATATATATGACATACATGTTGCTGAATTGGTAACACTTGTGTCTTTCATGCATGAGGTTGGAAGTTTTAATCCTAAATGAAATTAAATTTTTTTTTTAATAATTTCTGAGTTAATAATCCACCAATTTCTTAGAGTTAAACACTATCTACAGCTTTGCATCAAAACGTTTCTTATGATAGTGATTTTAATCACAGTCAGATATCATCTATTCTTGTCCATACTGTGCTGCGATCCTACTGCACTACCGTTTTAATAATTAAGACACAAATTTTTATGCTAATACATATTTTTCAATATCTAGCTAAAATAATTTTAATTAAAAATTTTGGGGTTTGATAATGTACAAATTCTTTATACATATTAACTTATTGTAAACTTTTGTTTAATCAATCAACAGTTTCCATCTTAAGACTATTTAAAAATTGATCATTAATATGTGTTTCTTAATATTGAAGGCAGTAATAATCTGCTTAAATAGAGCATAAATTATTTTTCATGATAATTATCAATAAAAATTGTCCACACTCGTGACCAATAATGTCAACTTTAAACTTGTGTTAAATATAAGAGTTCTGTTATTCTTAACAATGGCATCATAAAAAAGTTATCAATAACAAATTACTTAACTTTAACATGCAGTAACACATGAAGGGCTGATTAAGTAAAAAATGTATTAAGACATATTATATAGAGTGTTCAGTAAATAAGGACACAAATCAATTGTTACAAACAATGAGAACAATAGAAACCTATTTCCTTATTTGCTGAACACACTATATATTACAGTTTTTTATGCTTGAAGGTATGAATAAAATATTTATTCAACTGCATGTCACTACAGTTCAAACCAAATAATTAACTCCTTGCAAAAATCTAAAAATTTCAATAGTTTCTGAGAAAATGAGTGTCTTTCACTGAAAATCTATCACCCTATATATAAACTCATAAATACAGTATCAAATAAATTTTTATATAAAGCTATTAGTTCATAATAGCTAGATATATAAAATAGATATTTTACTAATTATATAATTTTTTAGTAGGTGTATAATATACATTATATGAAATCCATTAAAAATTTAAAGCTTACTTTAATAGTGTCATACATTAAGTTCATTACATTTAATAAAACTGTATAATAACCTCTATCTTTAAATATAAAACTGTTTGCAAGTCCTCTAAATAAATAAATATATTTTTAATCTATTATTTGAAAGTCATGAATTGAATATTTTTTTATTTCAATTTATTATTTTTTAATGGCTTAACTGTGCACTAAACATTTATTTTATTGTTTATTTATTAAAATATTTTAATACATTTTTAGTTGGAACAGGGAGTATTAGTTAAAGTACAATCAAACTTAATTAAGCGCAGTAAAAATCATTTCCATAATTTATCAGCTGGTGTTAGTGTTATACTTGGAAACAATGGTTATGTATGGATTGAACCGACAAATGATAAAAAAAAAGATGGTGGTAGTATGGATGTAGATCTTCAACAAGTATTGAAATTTAAAAAATATTATAATGTTATTATGAAAAATATTACTGTGGTATATCTTGGTAATAGGTTGTTGAAATTGGAGACAGACAGATAATATCTAGAGTACGTAATATTATACTAGCTTTATCATATTACAAAATGTTAATATATGATACTAGTATACAATATGCCTTAGAAGAATCAACAAAGTATACTGTGAGTAAAAATATTATAGTATAATATTTTTATTTAAAAAAAATAAATATAAATAAAAGTGAAAAAAATTATATTTTAATTGTTTCTTTATGTTAAGCAAATATTTGTTATAAAATCATTATCAAGATTTGGTTATTAATAACTATTAAATCTTTATTTAAAATATTTTTGGTTTTGTTTTACTCTATTATAATTAAAGAATTTTTAAACTATATGAATACAAGGTGATTGATATATGCCTGATGCAATATCTTCAAAAATACAAAAATATGAACTCATTTTTATTTGCAAAAATGTATAGTTTTTAATATGCTATTAATTAACAAAACATTTATTCTTTCCTACCCTCTTCTTACATCTTAAATCTATATTAACTTAAGTTTAAAATGATAACATACAAATTTAACTAGTTTTAATATTGCAATATAATCTAATTAAAAAATGGTTTTATTCTTTGAGCAAGTTTGATTTCTACATATTTTTTTAAAATAACTAGGAATAGAATACAGTGAAAATAGAAGATTAATAAAACACAGAATAATTTGTATTGAAACAATAAATTTATATTACTTTAACAATGACATTTAAAAAAATGATGAAACTCTGATTTAAATATAGTTGACAACAAAAATAAAAATGTCAATACACAATGTCAATCTTATCATCTACTTGATCTACTCACATTCCCTGTTTTAAATATTGATAAAAAAAAAATGATTATAGAACATAGATTATTTAATTAAATCCAACTAAGGCTTTCATAATTTTACTTGGCACAGTATTTCTAAAATAGTATAATTGTAGTTACTACTTATAATGGTGAAAAATTTATAACTTACTGAAAAATGTAATATAACAAAATATTAGATATAGTAAGTATAGAAAGGCTAGCCCTTAAAATTTATATAAGGTACTTCATGTGTTTATAACAGTTTTACATTTGTCAAATAAATTATTTCAGGTTGCAGACTTATTGACTGCTGAGGCTTGTTATGATGTTGCTAATCTTACACGTCACCGATTACAAGCCATGGATGAATAATTTAAAAAAAATGAAATAATATTAAGTACATATAAAATGCATTATTCACAAAAAGAATTAAGGAAATTCTGTGATATGTTTTCTAAAAGAAAAAACTATGAATAAATTTATTAAGAAAAAATGTATAAATGATTATTTTCCTTTAAATTTTGAATATAACATTAAAATACTAGTGTGTTTTCATCGTATAATTTGAATTTAAAAAAAATGTTTGTATAAAAAAACATTGAATTAAATTATTTATTTAATCACTCAAATTTATCAATTTTACATAATTATTTATTTTTAACAACTAAAAGCTCCTAACAATTACTTTACTACCTACCATACAATCTATAGCCATTTTTGTTTTTAATATTAGATACTAAAGAACATTATAGTTGAAAAATTGTTTTGTAACGTTAAAAAAATTTATTGAGCATTAGCCTAACAAAACAATTTTTTTACTAAAAAATAAAACCATAAAAATAAAAGTATCTAAGTATAAATATATCAAACATGTATGTTCCTCTTTTGAGATTCCAAAAATTAATCGGCATATTTATTAATATTCAGTTAATTTTACCATAAAAAAAAAATTAAAAGAAAATTGTTGATTCATTGTTATTTATCAGATTTCTAACACGTATTTATAATTGATTATTTTGAAAATTAAAAAAAACATATAAATGTAAACAACAATATACAGAATGATTGATTAAAGATAAGACACTTATTTTCTTGGAAACTATTAAAAATGTTTAATTTTTTAAAGGAAAACATTCAATAGCAATATGTAGTTGATCAATTTTTTTTCAGACCTTTAGGATTAAAAAATTTAAACATCAATTACCTTTAATGAGAATCCCTATTTTTAGTTTGCTCATTTAAAGAAATATTTATATTTTAAACAATTTTGATTTGTAATTTTTTTTATCCATTGAAACCATTCTAATTATTGCTTGTTAAAGTTAAGTGATTTAATAACAAAAACAGTTGATCAGATAAAAAAATTTTGGAATTTTTTTTTATTACATAATCTAACTAAAAGTAGCGATTTACATTAAAGAAAATTAAAGTTTAGGTTTTTTAACCTTAAAGAGATTAATAAAAAATTACTTAACTACATACTATTGTAGAATTTTTTCTTTTATGACAATTTATAATGTTTAATAGAATCCAAAAAAATTAATGTCTTATCCATTTCTGTCATTCTGTTATATATTTTTCGGAAAAACATTTTTATCTGGAACTATAATGTGATCTTATTAAATGAATGAATGATACATTTACTTACATCCATTAATAATAATCATGATATCGCCAACATTTTTGACTTACTTGACTAGAGTAACAAATCAACTGTTTAAGCTGTAACCATTATAAATAATTGTATACTTATATGTACTTTAAACATATTTAACTTGACTAAAAAACAAAAATTACCAAATTTCTTGTATTTAAAAATATAATTATCATTACTAATTAACTACATTATTTAATAAAATATTATTTACACAGTGCAACATACAATATATGATATCTCAATAAAAAGATAAGCAAATATCTTACCTAAAAATATTAGGAAATAATTTAATAATTAAAACGAGTAATAATTGTTTCTTCATTAAATAATGAGCTCATGACATGAATATTAATGTTATACATAATACAATCAAGTAGGCACCAATTGAATTCAAAAAAGATTTTGTGTATCTACCACATAGTATATTATGTCACTCTTTGGATTTTTACTAATCTACACGATCTTAATAACACAAACTATATCATTTTATATTATAGTCGCCATTCAAATTCAAATTAAAACAAAAAATATCATCATATAATTATAATTGTACTATAATATATGTATCTACTTGTTTTACACAACTTTAATTTCTATTGGATACCTACCTGGTTGTTATGTATGATTATTCACTATTATTTTTTTATAAAAATTGTCTACTTAAATTAATTTATACAATTAAAACAGTAAAACTTTGAACGTAATAAACTACTAAGTATTTTGGTCCTATATTCTGCTCATGATCACATGAATTACAATAATAAAATGCCATTAAGTAGCTTTAAAATTCTAAGTAAATAAAAATTCATTTTTACTTTCACCTCATATAAATCATGCTATTTGTATTGTCAACACAACTCACCTTTGCTAACATAATAAATTGGTGTTGTTAATTTAGCATTTATCAGTCTCTAACAAAATGAATAATTATTTTTGTTTGGTTTTTAGTTGTTTTTAAATAGATATTTTTTAGCTATAAAATTTACAAGCTGGTTGGTTTTATACTAGTATTGATTCTGAATTTCCTTAACATGTTATAAATTAATATTATTTTTAATTGTCTCTTAGATTTTGTATTGGTATTACAAATTGCAATAAACTAAAAACCAACCTAAAGATTTTTTCTGGTGAGCTACATAGACCCTGGTTGTTAAATATTACATCTTGGCAACAAATTATTGCAACGAGCATTTTTTTATAAACTAATTGTTTGCTGCTATCACAAACAAATTTTTGGAAATAGTATCACGTTGACATGCTTCATATTTTCTATAGTTACGGTTTGTGAAACGATCAAAAAGTTACAAAATCGATAAGAACTCCAGCGTAAAACTTATAGAACTAAATGTTATGTAGTCCAAATCCGATGAACGTTATTATATACTACATAAGCATACACTTTTCCCGAATTTTGCGACCTCGCATAGATTTCTTTTCCGGCTGCAACGATATGTTCCTGTTTTTCTCTAAATTGAGCAGCTCCTGAAACAACTCCTTTACGTTGTGATTAGTTTTGGCCGAAGTTTCCATAAAGTGACAGCCCCACCGCCGAGCCTCTGCGTCGCCATCTTCAGCCGTCACTTCCCTCGTATCGTTTTCATCACACTTGTTGCCCACTAACATAATCGGTATAGATGAAAGTTCTGTAGCACCTTTTGTTTCTTTAATCACCTAAAAAAAACAATTTCATTAATTAAAAGAAAAAAAATTTAATTACAAACGCGTGTTAAATACAAAAGATTGTAAATACCTACAAGTTTTTAACTACTCTAAGGTTTTTTCATTGAATAAGCAATTAAAAATTTTAAGGTATATTCTATCATTCAATTCATTTTACTAAAGTCATCTTATAAATAATATTCATTGGAATAAATTCTATTTCTTGACAAGAAAATTAACAATGATTTTTAACAATCTTTCAATGTCTATTAAATTTTATTTAATTTGACAATGAAAAAAAACAATCTTGTAGAATAGTATGAAATAAAAACACTATAATTTACTATAAAATATGCACATTCATTCTACAGACAAAATACAATTTTACACAAAATTATTGAAGTAGTCAAATAGTTTAAAAGCCCAACAATTAAAGTTAAACATATTTTAATTTCTATTTAACAAAAATATTACATGTACTTTTCAAATTCATGTGAACACTTTTTAACAAACATGTTTATTATAGTGATAACATTACGTAAAACCTAGGCATAAACAACATTATTGTTTACCTAAAAATCTAAGTGGCGTGGCTATTGGTAATCAAAAAAAATTTCTCCTTCGGATTATTAACGACCTGAGTAAACATTAGTGGGCGAAGGGTAAAAACTTTTTCTCTTTAATGTAATCGATCGACATTTTCAATATCGTACGTATTTTATTTGAAATGAAATACAGTTTGTTTAAAATAAAATTAGACACCGTGAGTATCAAATTAATCCGGTAAACTATTCTCCCTTGGATCCACACAGCCTGTGGTTGTATTCTATGATGTGTATACAGTCCGGATAATGTTTGCCTTTTAGTTTTTTCTCTTTGTAATAGTATTTTTGATCCAATCTATTCATGTGAATGTATTGTGATGACTCAGAGTTGCCACTCTCCAGTTATAATGCTCGCAATTCAATTTTTTATAATAACTCGATAGGGTAAAGAAAATTTTTTCTCTCCTGTGCTGACTAACTGAATTTTATTTACAATCGAATTTTTATACACACTCACTATATCATATTAAAAAATACTATACTAATTAAGTGCCAGCATTGTCAGTTATCGCCACAGTAACAATACAATAGAAATGCCTCATAATTGATGCTTTATTTTAAGCATATTATTGAATTTAATCCTATACATTTTTCAAAACAATCAAATTGATTTTCATGTACGTCATACATTTTATATTATTATCATACCTAATAATAAAATTGCTTTTAAACATCTGATAATTTTGTTTGTATTACAAATTTCACTGTTCGATACTTTAATAAACAAAAATGTTCTTTATTTATATGAACTTGTTGTCGAAAATGAAAAGGCAATATAAATATTCTATCCACTGATACTAACGTGAATACTAAAAATATATTTTTTATTTTTATTATGGAAAACTCAGAGCTTAGGCAAAGTTTTCACAATATTTTCTCATAATCTGACTGCTAAAAGTTTTCAAAATTAAACAGCGTTTTATTTTTTTCATAACATATTGTTTTAGTTTATAGAACTGATATAATAAATGAAACACAAAAAATTATCCCTAACATACGCGAGTTGTTTTCTAGTTTATATTAAAATTTTACAAAGACGCACACGTTATTAAACGGATCCAAAGCATTAATCTGTGGATAATTATTGTTAAGCTTCATATGGGCCGTTTAAGCACTTTGGCCACCAGTATACATTAATGCATTTTCTTTTAACCTCACTGTAGTATTATTTACGACCTCATAAAATAATACAACAGTAGCCATAAAATGTAATTTAAAAGACTGGCACTACTTTGAATTTAATTTTAATTATAAGTTTTTCTTGTGATCATTTGTCATTTAAAAATATTTTATTTATGAATTATTGACGGCAACGATTTAAAAATTTTACCAACAATGTAAAAATTTATTGACACAAAATCAATTTATACTAGAGAAATTTAATTTGGATGATAAAACGTACATGTTACATTGACATTATTGAAAGATGATATTTATTTTCTATTTATTAGTAATTGACTTCTTTTAGTAGAATTATTATTATTATTATTTTTATTATGAGGTACCAAGTTTGTTGATCATAAAACCCAGCCTCTCGTTTTAAGATTCTGAAAATTTTCCTTGTTCAAAATCATTAAACATTTTCAACGCAAAAAAAAGAAAGCTCAAAGCCAGATTTCAATGTGAGATTTATACAAATTAAGTTCTCAGAGAGGTCCTTGTCTTTATTTTTAAGTTTTAAATGTACGCTTTGCGTAACAATCTACCTATTGTTTTACAGGCTATTTTGCTGCTGAATGTGAATGAATAAAACATATTTTTCCAAGTCTATACTATTCTCAGAGTCAGGCTCAGAAATAATACACAATGCTAACCTGCCATATGGGTCGGAGTTCCTCTAATGACTGTCTGGAAGTACACGAGTAGACCAATATAAAAGCGTGTCCTTTAGATATCGACAGCCGCTGCATCGCTGGGAACTGGTGAGACCCCGTGGTGTCGGTGATCTGCAACGTGCATATGTTCTTGTTACAGCTTATCACTTGTCGGTACGTGTCTTCGATGGTGGGTATGTAAGATTCGCGGAACGTTCCCTTGACGAACCTCAACACCAACGAACTTTTCCCTACGCCACCGGCGCCGAACACTACCACCCGGTAGTCGTTACTTTGTTCCGGCATGCCGGATAGGAATTTATTGTATTATCTGTTAAAAATTTAAAATTGATTAATTATATTAAAAATACATGTGGAAATTCCAACACGGACACTAAACTAACGTTTAATAATGTGAACGATTCGCTCTTAATCATTGTCATTTTTTTATTTACTGTTACTAGTAAACAATTAACTAAAAAAATATTTTGAAAAACGCCCAAGAAAAGAGTCATTATTGTTATTTTTTAACACTTTTTACTTGACGAAGAAGAATGAATGACTAACAACAGAATGTATATATATATATATAAAAATTTTATGTTAAAAATTTTACACAAGTATCTCGCTTCCGACACATGATAAACCTAAAAAATGCGATTAGGTAAAATCCATAGCAACGTTATCTGAAATTGAAATAAACTATTTCGTATAAGAAAAAAATGCCAACGGAAAAATGAGGTATAAAAAAATTCGTTTAGTAATTATTCAACAATAACGCGTACGAAAATTTGTAAGCAATATCTAATTTTTACATTAAGAAATAATATTTAAAAACACATATCTATTGCGTAATATTACACTGTTAATTCAGAAGTATTAAAAATTAAAAAATCCGACATCCTTTTAGATAAAGTAAACAAATTTTTTATAACAACACAATGACTTTCTTGGATATTCGATTTTTAAAGATTTTTTTCACGACAAAAAAAAACGTCAATTGATTTTTCATTTTGTGAATGATTAATTCAGCAGAAATAATTTTTTTTGACAGGGACTTAATTTTGTTTATGTTAAATAAGGAAAATATCTAAAAGTTTAACTTAAACATTAAAATAAAAATATTCTGTGATGCAATATAGTATTTCGTTCAATCAATAATGTAAAAAAGTTTGTTCGAGAGTGAATAAGTTCTCTCGCTCGACTTTTTCACTGGCATCATTCACAAACAATATTTTATAATCAAGTTTAAAGTGTGTGATGCTAAGAAACTTTGAGTAATACCCACAGACTACAAATTCTGTTTTATTATTTATACTTGAGTCACATCTCAATTCTAGGCATCATAAAATATACAAACTGAATTATTTCATAAGTAAACATTATCCTGAGAACAAGCAATACGCAAACAATTGTAAAACAGTACAAGGTCTAGGTAAATCAAAATGATGCCAAAACTCAGTAATATAGCGTGATAAACATTACTTTAATTTGGAGCCACCTAACAACGGTTTACAAATGATCACAATAAAAATATATTAGATTACTTTAACAAATTTAATAAGTAAATCTCATTATAATCAAAACGGAGTCTACAAATCCCAGAATAATATAAAATAAAATGTAGTAATTGACTTGAACGAATAATACGTAAATGCCAATAGAATAAAACAGCTAAAAAATATTTATATTAATAAAATTTACTAATTTTTCTTTTCAGTTACCCATAATCGTTTTTCTGACATTTGGATACCTAAAAATTACCAAGAAAAAGCTTATAGGCCTGGTAAAGAATAAATGTTGTACGTTACTTTTTACCAAAGAGATAAAAACATTAGCTATCTTAATATGTTTTCAATCAATCCTAAGTATTTAAGTCCTTTTTTATTTTTGAAAAGAAATATCTCTTAATGTAATATTTTACTGAGCACAGACAGCAAATTTACTTGATCCGTTTATGATGAAATGGCCCGTAAAATATAATCTGATGTGGCAAATTTTTCAAAGAAAACACATTAAAAAATGGATAAATCACTACTACAGTCTGAGTGACCCTAATACAAATATTATGATTCAACCATGGCAAATTTATTAGTACAGTAGTTACACAAATAAAATCATTACCGTTTATAAAAAAAAATTATTTCTCTAATTATTTATATTGTTTATCACAAGTACTTCATTAACAGATATGATCTCTACCGACATCGTTCAAGTTCTCATCATTTCCTAATAGGTAACACCAACTCGTTTGAAGTACAAGTGCGCAGTAAATAAACAAACGTATTTCGGTGAGAAATTTAACGTGTAGCTCTGTCATTGACCTGTGAAAATGCTTAAAGTTTGTGTACATAAACATTGTATATACCGTTCATTGGCTCAAAAGTACCACTAAAACACTGAATAGCGTATGAAATTGATATAAACAATAGCGACTGTTTTTACTTTGAAATTTTCTTTAAGAAAAACCTTTGTCGTTAATCTCTCATAATTACTACTCCGTGCTCGCTTTTTTTTCATCTAGGTCACAACAATTAATGGCCTCGGTAAACATTTGAGCTGTTCGAACGTAGTTACCAAGGCGTGTAATATTATTCCCGCATGGTTTAGGATAAATGTACAAATGCCTGTTTGAGTCACAGTTCTTGGAACTAATGACCGCGTTATTAAAATTTAACCACAAATCGACTTGCTTATAGTTTAAAAAAAGAAGATGGATTCTTCGTTTAATAAATGTTTCTAATATCCAGTAGCTTTGTAAACTGTATACAAATTAGACATTTTATTAAACTCAATTCATTGTGTTAAAACTCGTTTTAACAAAAAAAGAAATCTACTTTGAAACTATAACAATAACTAGTTTTCACAGTCGAGACTTTGCTCATTTCACCAATAATCAATTTTAGAATAATATTACAATCAAAGAACTACCGAAAAATGCATTTCCTCTGTGTTTACTGAAAAACGAATGCAATTTGTTTTATTAAATACACGACTAGCAAAAATATATTAATTTTAGATTATTTTTAAATAACAAGAAACAAAAATTGCATTTTTTCTCGATTTCTATTATCCTTTGAGTTAACCGAAACTATTAAGTTAGTCATAACAATAAATTGAACAATAGATGAGCCGCTAGATAAATTTAATCAAAAACACAATAGAAACTTTCCGATTACTTAAACTTTAAGGGTTGATTCAAACACATTGATGGTCATCAATTATTATTATATAAGTCCCAACCTCTATTGATAATAACTTGCGACAACTATAGTGTAAATGGTTCGACCCTGAAAATTAAACATATTTTTTGCCTACGTGTTGTTACTGTGTAACTTGAGGCAAAAACTAATTCAATATTATCTTGATAAAGGGACTACACATTAAACTCTGTATAAATATTTTTTCGGGTGTAAAGAGGATAACAAATATCGTTTGATTGACCTTTAAGAGGTCTATGAACTTAATTCCTGACATAAAAACTAACATATGAGTTAATAAGTGTTATTATTTTATTTTTATGGTGCAAGCAGTTTGCACTTATACCCTCTATTTTTTTATAATATATTTATATTTGAAACACGTCATTGGAATTTAATGTAATCTAAAAGAGTATTTAATGATTTGTAAATTCCAACGTTTAATTTAATTTACAAAAATAGCGTAAACATCATTAGGCATTACATTAGTTCTGCAATGTAAACATTTTTCTTTCGCACTAATCATTTATATTCCATAACGTTTTGCTATCACATAACTTTATCAATTGAAACATTTATACTAAAATCAAAAGTTTTGGTGATAATAAAATGGAAATCAGACAACATAAGCACAATAAATTTACTGTGAAAGTTCTTATTGTAAAATTTATCTGTAATCCCATAAACTACGAAAATCCACAGCACGAATGAATAAATACATCAATAAAGAAGATTTGGTCTGATTTGGAGATCAACCACTTTAGCAGTTACAAAATACATAGACATGTTAATAAAGAAATATTTCTTTAAAAAGTTTTTGTTGGAGATAGAGTAGTGAGACTTCAATACCAGGTATGATGACATTTAATAATATGTAGAACATATTGTTACGTTAAAATTCGTTTTCTTTTTAATTTAGTAAAAAAATCAGTATAAACATATAAAATATGTTTATTTCTTCCAAAAATATTTCATACAAAACGATAAGTAATATTAGCAAATTACAATTTATGCAATAGCTAACGAACACATACAAATATTGAAATACATTTTATTACTTCAATAGTACCATATTACGCTATGTTGTCAGTGTTTCAGTTCTATAATCAGTGCTTATTTATAGAAGGTCATTTGGCACATTTATATAGGGCCTATCCAAAATGGGGGTCCTCGACAAATATTAGTTGTATATTCATTTATAATCATTAAGTATAAATAAAGTTTTGGCGACTATCAAAAATAGGTAAAAAGTAATAATAAAAATAAATATTACAACAAACATAAATTTTGACGACAATATTGACAAGTATTGTGAACTGAAAGCTCGAAAATGTTTGTCAACGCTACAATATAAGTTGCCATTTATTTTTATAAAAATATCATTATTAAATAAAAGTAAGATTATTATTTATGTATTTTGTTTTATTTATTATTTTATATTTAATACATTTAAAACATCAGATTGTATCTTAGTAGATTACGGAGGATAGTACATCCCCCATAATTACTATTTAAATAATTATAGTCTGCAATTTAAATACAATTTCAAGATCTTATTTTTACTTGTTTCATTTTTGTGGCCAGAAGTAAGTCGGCTATTTGTATCTAACTCTAAAAAAATAAAATTTTACGTTTTAATATATAGATAATTGATTTATCGTTGACTACTAGATTTATTTTTATGTAATAATAAATTTTAAAATGTTGGCTTATTCCAATAGTATTTACATTTTGTTTTTTAAGTAGTTAAATATTTTCAAAGTCTATCATTTTTATCTTGTAAGGGCAACAACTTAATTTTTATAAATTGACAAATAAATAATATTAAATATATACTAAACTAAACTAAAAAAAAATTGTCAAAACTATTATTTTTGAAGAAAATTAGCGGACAATGATAAATCTTGTATATATTTAACATAGTTATGATAGTAATGGTTATTGAATTTTTTGTTGTGTATTAATTATTGATTCCAAGGAAAATTTTTTTTAGGAGACCATAGTTATAAATTGAACTGGGCCCACGATTGGTCAACCTGGTTATAATAGTGGCGTCTATTAGAGCAATTTAATTACTGTGTCAGCATAAAACAACAAGTAGATAGCACAGCTATTGTACTCACTTAATAAATCGTGCCGACGATTTCTTATGACTTGAAGTGTTGCAGTTCGTCTGTTCGGTGCAACGCCGTAGCCGCCACATCCATAAGTACCGTTTTATATGTATTAATTTTTAAGGATTCAGCTGTGGAGTAGTACTACTCTCGTGTCCCGCGGTAAATTATAGAATAATCGTGCAACTCCAAGTGTTTAAATACGATTACGACGAAATTCGATGGGAATGTTCGAACACTACCATGGTTCGTCTGTGGCTAATTATTTTGCCGTTTTTCGTTGGCATTGCGTGTGCGTGGACCGCCGCCTTGCCGCTTACTGTTCAACGGGACGCGCGGTAAGGTTGATCAATACAAAGACATTGGCGAACGGGTAGGTAGCCACGCCATAACGGTAGTGGAAGAACACCTCCGGCCTTGCCCGTTCCATTTAGTAGAGCCCTCTGTTACCGGTATCGCAGAGAGTAGTGCACACGAGTACGTTAGTATACAGTGTGTTTACGGGGTTAGTCCGTCATTTTTTAGACTAACTGTGATTCCCACGATTCTTCAGTTTTTTAGATAACATTTTTAAATGTAAATCCATTTTAGAATAACTATTGGATTTAGAAAAAAAGTCGATGAAAACTTTATTAAAACGATAGAACTGTTGCTTTTACAGACAAGTAACGTAAGCGCCCTGTACGTCGCCAAAAACGTACAATTACTCACCCTCAGCCAACGCCTCTCTCAATGTGTATTATACACGGTGGTGATGTAGTGAGGAAGAAACGGTGACGTCACAGACGGTGTTTCACAGCGTTCGTAGCGGCTCCGTTGAGATTTGACCAAGTTTATCAGAGTTTTCAACTCATCAATGGAGATGGAAAGACGGTAAATGCGTAAAAAACGCACACACATACTGCCCCTCACGGAATGACGCAAAAGGACCGTCGCTAGGCTTACGCCCACATAGCCGCCGAAAACATTAAATCGTCATCAACAACATGTTATAACAATAATAATAATAATAAAAATGTTCAAATGGAGAAATCCTTAATCTGCGTTAATGTCTATCTAAAATCATTTTATGTTTGTTAAATTCCCACACAATTTCCGCGTCGTTATCGCACAGGGGCTTGTGAATTTACATCGGTCGGCTTAACGGATAATATTAAAATAGGTACTCAACAATCCCACGTCAAAGCTCTATATCAGTACATTAAATGAAACCATTATTTTAAGGTACTCACTTATTTGCTGTATTATAAATATTAATTATGACAGACAAACAAAATTTCATCTCATACAAAAATAATACTAAAAAGTCCAGTAAGTTTTATAATATTACAAACTACTCACATAGAATTTAATATATAGAGTGTTTGTAAGTAAGGAAACGGGTTTTTATTATTCTCATTGTTTGTAACAATTGGCCTGTTTCCTTACTTATTGAACACCTTGTATAAAAATAAAATTTTACGTAGACGTTCTGAATGGTGAAACGCATATTCTATCACTAGACATGAATGTGTAGCATTAATTGTAGTCGAGACTATTATTCACATTAATAATACACGGCGTATACATTTTATAAGATTAATAGAAAGTAAGTTAAACTATTTTTATTTTTTCCTAGAACAACAATAATTTGTATAATATTTGTATTACTTTATTAACACATTGAGTTGAAATAATTAAGGTAAACAAATTTATATAACAAGGTAGTTAATTTTTTTTTTATTAAAATATATATATATATATATATATAAATAATATATTCTCAAGCATTGGTTAAAAAGAAAAATAATTTGTTTAATTGTTTGTAGATCGTAACTATTAATAGAAAACAAAATATTACTATATATAGCTATCTTACAACCAATCTGGACCTTCGGTATCCAATTATAGGACTATACTAGCAAAGCTTAAATTAAAGAATATAATCTATGTAAAACATAACTCTTCGAATTATTATTAACGCATTCATATTTAAAAAAAAAAAAGATAATATTCGCAAAGATATGATAATACCAACCGTCAGAGATGATATTGAATGATGAGCAAGAATACGTAAAAATTGTTTGAAATCCTATATCAACAAAGCTGCAATTTGATTTCTTAATTATTCTTATGACTTGTTGTAAATTTTGTGTAATCTTATTGTTCATAAGGTCGGCTCATATAAATTCTATAAAAAAATATATTGATTGAGATTTTGAAATGAAATTTATTTAATTGTAATTAAATATTCTGCCTCCCAAAACACTCAATACGGTCATGTACCTGAATTGCCTAATTTAAACGCCGCGTTGTTACAACAAAGACAGTGTTGCACATTAAATTTTTAAATCATGGTTATCTACTCAAATATAGTTGATAACTGTATTTATAATATTCTTATTCAATATGTGTAATTACTGTCTTAATAAATTAGAATGACATTCTAGACCAATTTTTTCATGAGTACTATTTTATTTCATAATTATAAAAAAGGCCCTTAGATCTATCTTTGTTTCTATAGTTAAAACAAAAATAAAACTACTACACTAAAATCAATATAAATTGAAATACAACCATACGTGATGTATTTGTCTTGTACAAGGTAGTTTATCCAACTAACCAAACCGTACTGGAATGACATCTTGTCTTGGCTCCGATTGGTATAGGCTAGCAATTGAGAGGTGTCACTTTTGTGAGCGTCGTCTAAACTTACATGATACATAAATGATTAAATAAATAGTACATAAATATATAGAAGATTTCATCAAAATAACTTAATTTTAAAAATGGCCTTAAATATTAAAATGGTAACAAATATAACAGCGACGAACCAAACTACAAAAAAAACAAAGTGATTAAAATAAATGTTCGAACAGCGGTATAAACATATAATGGCGCATATATATGAACATATGTTAATTAGCGACAGAGAACTGTATACGGTGATAGCAGACTTAAATGAAGTCAAATTATAATAATGAATGAACAGAGAACGACATAATCAAAAAATTTTGGTTCGAGTGTTCAATGATTATGGTGTACATAACTACGTTTGTTACAACTGGTTCACTAGATCCTTGAAAAGCGCACTCTATCACATAGTATTAAATAAAATTTCTTGACAACAATTCCGTTTGCGGTGAAACAAGAAAATATCCTATGCCTCCGATGGTATTAGATTTTAAAATACGAATGATTAGAAAAATAATCGTGTTTTAGCTGGAAAAAATACTTTACACTATTACTCAAAAATTAAAAAAAAAAAGTAGTCTTTGCTCAATATTTACTCCAAATGTAAAAACAAACACTATTATGTCGTTTGTTTATAGTTTCACTCAAATTAAAAATTATCTTTACCAACGTTTATATTTAAAAATATTATTTGAAACGTTCGCATGTAAACTATCGTATTTGTACGTTTGGCAACACCATATTATAAATACCGATTGGACACATTTCTTATCAATAAGGAATAGTTCAATCATATGATAACAAATAATAATAATTAGAAGTTTTTAATTTTTAAATAAAAGTGTTACTTATAAATTATAATTGACTATAATCTTTTAATATATCATATGTTTATTAGGGTGGCCCTCAAAAATCGAATGTCTTTTTTTTTTTTACGCTACCCCTTAATTTTTTTTTAATGGTCAAAAAAATGAGCTGTGCAAAATTTGGGACCAATCCGTTAAGGTTAACCCGTGCCCCCGGGCCTATTAAGTTGAGTTATAGAGTCAAATTTAATAGAANCCTATTAAGTTGAGTCGAAGAGTCAAATTTAATAGAAATAACTGATCTATGTCTCATAACTTTTTTTTCTCTTAACTTAGAATAATAAAAGTAAAACTCAAGTAAAGGAAATTTTACAAGAAATTCAAAAATAATAACTTCAATGTTGTTTTCTCAATAAATAGCCCACAAAAACACTACATACAGTAAAAAACATGTAAAAGTCTAAAATACGTTATAACTGATTTTGATGATTTTTAATTATTTATTTTTTGGAAAACGCATATTCATTTATAAAAAATTTGTAGAAGTTTAATTTTTTACGCCAAGTACGATAATTATATTAGATTTATTATTTTATGGACAGTTAATTAATGATTAATTACAAATTTAACAAAATTGATTGTATTATTACATTTTGTCGTATCAATATATCAATTTTGGTTTACTGAATTACTTTAAGATAGTACCAATTATATTATTATTAAAGATAAGTATATTTGAGTTATTTTCGACAACTGACATAATTTGTGTCGTATAAATGCAGCAGACAATTTGTGAACACGTTAAATATATTTTACCTGTTTATTATTATATATTAAATGATACGTTTTAATCACAAATGTACAATACTTTTAGCGTCTTTTAAAGTATTACGAACTAATATTTATCTTATTGGTAATTATTCTCACGAAATAACTGGTAGTAAGTTACCATCAAATTTACAACTATTTAATCTGAACACTGATTTTTTGAAAATTGATCCATCATTTTGGAGTGCGAACAACAGTTACATAAATGCTTTAAATACTATAAGTAAATTACGAGTCATTAATGATACAGCCTAGCGTGGCATTAAATTAATCTAAGACTACATTAATATATTAACTACAAATGAAGAACAGAAACAATACGTTTTACAAATAGTAAGTAATTATCGGAAAAAATTTCCTAATTGTAAAAAAAGTACATTATCAAAAAATATATAATAATAATATAATTTAATTATTGTTAAAATATTTTTTTTAAAGTTATTATTATTTAAAAAAAAATAAATTAAAAATTGTTAATAACAATTAAATTAAACTGTTAGGTTTGTAATTAATCATTAATTAACTGTCCATAAAATAATAAATCTAATATAATTATCGTACTTGGCATAAAAAATTAAACTTCTAGAATCTTTTTTTAAACGAATATGCGTTTTCCAAAAAATAAAATGAAAATAAATAATTAAAAATCAACAAAATCAGTTATAACGTATTTTAAGACTTTTACATGTTTTTTACTGTATGTAGTGTTTTTGTGGGCTATTTATTGAGAAAACAACATTGAAGTTATTATTTTTGAATTTCCTGTAAAATTTCCTTTACTTGAGTTTTACTTTTATTATTCTAAGTTAAGAGCAAAAAAAGTTATGAGACATAGATCAGTTATTTCTATTAAATTTGACTCTATAACTCAACTTAATAGGCCCGGGGGCACGGGTTAACCTTAACGGATTGGTCCCAAATTTTGCACAGCTCATTTTTTTGACCATTAAAAAAAAATTAAGGGGTAGCGTAAAAAAAAAAAGACATTCGATTTTTAAGGGCCACCCTAATGTTTATATTATTTATGGGAAACAATTAGTAAAATAATTGAACAATATAAAAAACTTTTGAACCAGAAGCATCATTTGCGTGCTCAAAATTCTGTGTTATCATTAGGTACCATAAGTACAACCTATCTGGTTTCAATCTCTAAACATCCAAATTAGAGATATGAAAATATCATATCTTCCACCCTAAATAATTTTTTTTTTCGCTTTTATCAGCCCATTAAGGGCCATCGCGGTTCCCCCAAAGAAAGAGGTTTCTTAAATAATTATTATTATTCTTATTATTACTCTAAATAATAGCCTCAAAATATTTATGCTTACTAAAATAACGCCCCTATATTAAACGAAATACAAAGTAATTTTAGAATATGAATTAATAAAAAATATTATTTTAGAAATTATATGCAACATAAATGCCAAAATGAATCATTTTATCAAATGACTAAATTAAAATATTTTTGAAAACTAAAATCGCTTTATACATTTCTCCTTTATATCTCAATGAAAGAAAATTATTATTTTATTTACATTATTATTTCCAACAAAGACAGTGATGAATCAATTACTAATTAAATTATTTTATTTACAGGAATGTATGTATCTATACATATTAATTTTGTTATTGTATAATACAGATATTATTAATAACACACTCAGTTTTTTTTAAATACATGTCTCTTGATCGAGGTCATTCTGAAATCTGCGTCACAAATCACCGTCACGAACGTCTATTACGCCCATTTCTCATTGCAACTATGAATACTCGATAATAGTAGCTAATTCACATTGTAGAAAAGATATATGCTCCAACACCGTAAGCTAAATTTAGTAGTATCGCTAGTTAATATAAAAGATTTCAGTAACCAGTCTCGCGAAACAAAGGTATTGGTACCAGATGTATATATTTTTTTCTTGTCACTTCAAATTTACACATTTTTTTGTGTAAAAGTGAGATTTTATATCAAAGAAAATAAATTGACAAGAAATTTATACGCTCATAGCGACGTGAGCTGTTATTTTGACAAATCTTATTAATCGAGAATGAATTCGATATTATTTTAATTTTGTAGTCGTTTTTCATTCGTCGTTCGTCGCGTTTGTTATTATTTCGATATCGTAATAATAATTGTAAATTTGAATTTAGATTTTCATTATTCTTGAAGTTATGGAATTTACTTATAATGAATCATAACGATTGCTCAAACCCCAGCAGAACGTCAACGCAAACTGTGTAAACGTAAACGTGAGGAAAAGGAGCAAAACAAATTTTTGAAAAATACGTCGTTTATATCTCAAACGACCAAAGAAAAAAACTTTCTTAAGTGTGAAATAATTATGGAAAGCACCTCCCACTTACCGCAGCGCAGCGATCTAAAAAATATCGTAAATCGAAAAAAGACAAACTGTTGCAGCAAATTGTGCCGTCAAAACCGTATCATCTTACAAAAACGAAAGAATCTAAAAGATATTGTGAAGTGCGCACGGAACTCAAATATGAAGCTCATAGAGAACTCAAGACGGAAGAGAGAAATAACGGTTTAACCAAAATTTTAGTGCAACAAATCATTGAGCCCATCATTTCTCCAAAAAAATTAATTTCTGAAAATATTTCAGTTAATCTTGAATTCGACAACTAATTCCGCGGAAAACGTTCTGAAATGTCCAGTTTGGAATACGATTGTTCGATGTCCGAATGTGATACAAAACACATCAAAAGCGATTAAATTAATTCCAATTGAAATTTCAAATATCATACACACAAACAACCACTTGTTCTACGTTAAATTGACCAATGCGTTAGTTATTTTTTACAATTATTATTATGAAGTTTAGAATACAATTTAAATATATACTGTTAATAGTATTTATAAGGCTTAATATTTGGTATTGTACATTATTTAAGGAGAATTCGATCTATATTTAAATTCAAACTTATAAATACCTATCTAAAAGACTTACTCTAAGTAATTCGCTGTTTTACTCACATAAATCAAGTACCTTTATTTTCTTGCTATACGACTTTCATAATCCAGCAAAAATGTATAGGTTTAACATACATATGCACGTTTAAGGTTTTTTTCTAGAACTATATCATCTCCAAGAAAAATGACTATTTAATTGTTTTTTGTTGCTTATAAACAAAAACTGATAATTCACAAAAATTAGTGTTTTAGATATTTATAATTTGAATAAAGAAGGATGTTTTTTTCATTACTTAAAAATTCTCAGTCAATTTTATCAAGAAGATTTATTTATTGTTATTATAAATGACAATTCTATAAAATGTTATTAACATATCAAATTTATTTTTTCTTTCCTGAAAAATCACTAAAACTGACGTTTTGAGTAATGTAAAAGAGCCATAGATTTATATTTCAACAAAATAAATCTATTAGTAGTAGTGTCTGATTTTATAATATTCTACACATAATTAAAAAAAATTAAATCATCTGTTTTTGCTTAAAATTTTTAGGAATGCTTGGAAATGTTTGTAATTAAGTTAAACTACTAGCTACGCTATCTAGTAAATTGGTATTAAATTACACATTTTTAAGTTTTTTTATCTCAATATCAACAATAATATTATAATCTTACGACGTTTGATAACAGTTTTCTCGAGAATTTAGAATTTTTATATTAACTCGGAAAGAAATTTTTTTAATTAATTTTAGAACCATTTTTTAAATATCAAAGAATTTTCATTAATTGTAAGTTAGATAATGCTATAATAAGTCATTTTTATATTGCTAGAATAACGAATTGAATAATTCATTAATCAGGTAATTTCATTTTAGAATTGTTGTATAATATTTTTTTTTTTTTATCTAATTCTATGTTGGCTACCTAATTTAAAATAAAAGAGTGCATAGGAGTGCCTCATGATTAAAACCCCATTATACATATGATTCGTTTCCATGAGTTTTTATTCTCTAATCAATCATACTAATAAATCTATGAAAGGTATTATTATTATTGCAATTAACATGGTTATTTGCAGTGATGCTTTGCAAAAAAATCTTCTTTTATATGAATTTTAGGATATATGTTAGTTCAAATAATTGTTATTTGGTAACGCCATATACTCCCCAAATACTACTGTTTATTTGTATTAAAACTATCGAGTTAATAAGTCAATTACATAAAATGTAATTATTCAATTTTCAAAGGAATACTGTCAAACATTTACTAAGTACCATTTTGTATACCTGTTTTTTAATGTAACACAATTTTTTTAGTATAATGCACTTTATCATGTTATATTGTAAAGTTAAAATATGTTTTAATTTTAGTAGTAGAATAAGTATTTATTAATTTTTTTTAAGGTAATATAATAATGAATTAGAAATGATTTTTAATACAGGTACAAATTTTCAAATAATGCCAAAAAATCCATTTGTAGCCAGTAAATCGCGTAAGAAAAAAAAATCAAAAAAAATTGTTCAAAAATTTAATGAAAATACTATTGTTCCTAATAAGCCATTTTGCCCTCGAAACATGGTGCGATATGATGATGTACCAGGGTATGATGTTATGTGGACCTGTAAAATATGCTTAAGATGTTTATTGAGTGAAAATGCAGTTTATGAGCATTTGGCCGAGTGTAAAAAGTCTACATACGAATTAAACTCCGACACACATCCAAAAGTCAAGTATGAACATAAAAAAGAATTATTAATAGTGCTATATTATATTTTTAACTATATATTATGCGTAGGATGACCCGTTTATTATATAAATAAAATATTAAAAAAAATATTTTGATTTTTTTTAAATTACACATATTTCTTGAAATATCATCTACTAATAACTTTTAGCATCATTTATTTATTACTTATAGGGGGAATTACTTTATTTTTATAAATGAAAACATAAATATGTAATTGGCTAATAAAATATATCTAATTATAAAAATAATAGTTCAATAATACTTTTATGTATTATAATACTTTAAAAGTTATTAACATCTTTATATCTGACTGAGAAGAGTAGTGCAACCTCGAAATATATAATAGTGTAAATAACAGTACCAGTACCTCACCTCAATTTATAAATTTAAACACTTATAACTTTTGAAATATTGTTTCAAAAGTTTTTATGTTCTTAATCAAATTATTATCAAAATAAATATATGTAATTAAAAAAACTAAATTGTTTTTTTTAATATTGTATTTATTTTGTCAGTAATTAAGTGGTTTATGATAAAAATATCTCCCTATTACAAAAGAACTCGCATAAAAAAATACCAAATATGGACATAATTTTTTTCTCTTGATGATCTTTTTTCCATCAATTTTAATTTATGATTGAATAATTTATAAATAATGCAAACATTTTATTTACTATTCATCTTTTTATACATTTAATTTCATTCATTTTTTTTTTCAAATGAAACAAGAATACTATAGCAAAATCATGTAAAGTATTATTTTTTGAAATAATGTTAATATTCCAAGTTGAAATTTCCCTCCCTTGCATCTTATTTGACCGGCATCTTATTTGCTTGTTCTAATTAATTAATTTAATAAAAAATTTTTTAGTTTTAATGATGGTGAGGTTCGTCAGTATATTTGTAAATATTGTGACCAAGTTTTTTCACGTATGGTTACATTGACAAAACACGAAGAACAGCATGAAATATCTGCCAGTAGTCCAGATGGTGAATCTGACAGTGATAAATTTTTATTAAATATAAAAACATCAAACAATTAATAGAAAGTGCTATAAAATGAAATGTCTCCTTATACTTGAAGTTTTAATGAAAAATCAATATGTTACATAGTAACTATTTAATTAATTAATAATTTAATTATAGAGTCAAAATTATGATATGTATAAATTAATAATGTTTAAAAATTTTGAGTATTTATTAGCTTGGTTTATACTAAACTATTTATATTTGTAAAAAATGATAAATCTATTGTAATGGCTGTTCCATTTGCATGATAAAGTATACTCCTCCTTTAAAAATAAATTGTAGTGTACCTAATTTTTCATAAGAAATGTTAAGTTGTTTGAAGTTTACATGAATATGTTAATATGGTTGTATAAAACCATTAAAACATTGAATAATCTCAAATTATGAACACACCTGACATTTTATTTAACAAATTATTTTATGTAAACATAAAATTACTTTATTTTTATTTATTTTTTTTACTAGTTAATTTACAATTAATTAAAATAAATGTAATTAGCAATGTACATCAGCAATTGATTATAATGTATAAGATTATTGAACAAAATATAACTTTAGAATAAGCCTCATATGATCACTTTTTATCATATAACTTTGAAAAAAGAATTTTTTTAATCTCGAGGTAGTTTTGCATGGTAGGTAAAAATTAAATACATCAATACAACAAAATAATAAATTTTATTAAAATATAATAAATAAATAATAAAGTGTTTGTTTTATAGAAATCTTTTTTGTGCATTGCTTTAAACCAACTTTTACGTTTTTGCCTATTGGTCAAAATAGCTGTGGTATAGATTATAATCCTGAAAAAATTTATTATATAATTGTTGGTTACTATCTTTATAATTTAAAAAATGAGTTTTCATAATAATTTTTTTTTAGCTTCGATGCGAAGCTGAGAAGGTATTAATTTTACTATGATGTGTTTTTTTTTTATTTTTTTTTTTATTTTTTTNCTTTAATTTAAGATATATATAAAAGTGTCAGACCTTCCGGAACATTTTCAAAGTTAAGTTGAAAAAGTTAATTTTTTGTGAAAAAGTTGTCATTTTAAATCCCTCCTTGTGGGCAGGTTAAGGGTTAAATTTATGAAAAAAATATACCAAATGAAAGGTAATGATATTATGCATCTATATAAAAAAGAATTATATTGATATGTTCATTTTTGAAAAAGTTACGGCAGTTTTTAGTAAAAAAAATTGAAAAAATTTCGAAAATTAGCGATTTTTAAATTCGTAATTTTTTTAGAGGTTTCCCCCATTTACGGGAACGAGGGAATTTTTTTCAATTTTTGAGGGTAATGTCTTCGACTAGATACAATTTGTGATCTTTTGACATATCATTGAAAGAAATCGGTTCGGTGAGAGCTGAGAAAAAGTGGTAACAGACACAAAAAAAAAAATAAATAAATAAACACATCTTAGTAAAACCAATATCTTCTCAGCTTCGCATCGAAGCTAAAATAAACTATTATTGATAATAGTTCATTTTACTTTTCTCTTCCTATTTGAAAATGATTCACTAGTATATAATTATAAAATTTTATTTTATAGAACTTTAAGTGTCACAGGATAACAAATAATAAAAAAATATATGTTGTCTACAATTTAAGTGAATTCTATAAAAAAATCTGAAAATTTTTCTGGTCATTAATAAAAACATACAATCCTAGATATCAAATTTTTGTTAATTTAAAGTAGATTCTATGGCAACTATTATTTAAGCGTTATTTAGGGGAAGGGTTAGTTTGGTACTATCTATGGATAAATGAAATAAAGTGTATTGTCTATTTATTTCTCAGTATATTTCTAATAGTTAATAATAATAATAAAGTTCACGACAATATTTAACATTTTGATGTAGGGTGGCTACATGAATTTTAGAACCCTCAAATATTTTCTAATCGCCCTTTAAATAACATTTATAAGCACAAAAAAAAAGTTTAAAATTTTTTCAATTACATTTTTTATCATAAATCAATTTTTTTGTTCTTGGCTTTTATTGAACTTATAATTACAATCTTAAAATAAAAGCAAAGTAAATAAAATATCGTATAAATTATAACTACCAATTATAAAATTATTATTTTTTTTTTAATCAACCGTATGTCGATAATATTTATAGATAATTCTCTTTATAATTAACATACTCGTACGTCTCTAAAAGTTTTTGGGGGACTGTTGTCTCTTTGAATCACTCTTTAAAAACAGCCCTGATAAAGTTACTAATGTTCTAGTAAGAAATGTATTAATTAGAAAATATATTGATTGCTATATGCCATAATTAATGATATAATAGATGCGTATATAAGAATATTTTTTGGCGGGAGAGTAGAACAATTTTATTAAATTAACATAGAAATGTATTTTTATTTATTTATTTTGTTTTTTGATGGCTTGTTTTCTTGCTTATAATATTTCGTAAGTATAATTTTTTATAAAAAACTAGATTGTCGCTTGAATTTCAGGGGTAAGGATCGCATTATTTTAGTCCATAAGGCATGAGGAAATGTCTCCATGGCTTAAACTGTTGTTAATAATTTTTTCACTCTTGCAAATTTTACTGTGGGCGTCTGCTATTAGTATGAATTTTAATTATGTCATTCTATTTCAAATTCAATATCAATTTTTTCTTAAAAGTATATAAAAAATTAGTTGAAAAGTTTAATTTTTGGATTTAGTAGCCTTTGTTTTTACTCAACCCTCCTATCATCACTATTCGTCTTTGTTTACTTTATTATCTCCTATTTCCGCGCGAGTTAGAAATATACAGCAATGTACCTCTTTAGTATTTTTGAAAAACATATCAACCTGCCTCAAAATTCTACTCACGAAATTACCATTTTTGATTTTATCTATTAACAAGTTAAATTGTAACATAATTATAGTTTTATTGACTTATTTCGTTCAATAATCTGTTTAACAAACTATTTATTGGAAGGAAAACAATCTCATCCGGATCATTGATTTTTGTAAACAAAAGTTTTTGCCTCTTAGTAATTTTATTTTCCATCTTACTTAAAAGCTAACTGTACAATCTAAATCAATTATAACTATAATAAATTCTTTGATAAGAATATTTTTTAACAAATATTCTCATACATTAAAAATAAACCCACAAAATTTTCAGATTGTCTTCCAGACAAACATAATTTGGTTAAGTTTTCAAACTGGCAACAAAAATAATAAATCAGTACTGTAAGTAAATGTTATATATTGAAATAAATAATTGAACAAATTTCGCAATCCATTAACCAACAATCGGATTTTATGAAAAAAAAAAAAATAAAAACATATTTCCTTTTAACTCAACCGTGTTTATTTTATATAAACAAACAATGGTAATTACATTTACTTGGCCCTTAGCGTTTTTTTTTTTATTGGTTTTATCGACAGTCGACGGGTCACATTTGCTCCAAATGTGTGTCGAACCGTTTGGCGTTGTCAGTTATGTCGGTTTAAGCCAGACAGACAGGCGACTACAAACTAATGCAAACGGGCCACCCAGATCGTATTCTTCAACTATTTTCAATATTATTCAAATTTATAAGTGTATTTAAGTACAAATGAAAATTTTCTCTAATTCATATGGTTTGTTTTAAATACTCGTTTATTTTTAGCTGTCCCAAATGTCGTCAACGTTCAATAATTATATTCGCCGAATGCAGGAAGTGTCACAAAATTAATAACCATTTGTAGATTTGCTTCTACAATCATCTCAGTACATTAATACGGGTTAGGACGTGTAGATATTTTCTATTAAGCTTAAGAAACACAACTTGTATAAACACAACAGTAAAACGTACAAGCTCACCTTGCATTATAAGCGAGGAAGTGATAAAAGAGAAGAAGAAAAACTAAGCGGACGTTATTCAATCAAACGTCCCGTGAAATCGAATGTAAACACTACTATTAAGTTACCGAGCGGTGAGTTAACGCGATATCTAAACACTAGGAAATCTAATACAGGGCACAGAACTGATTGATGTGTGTTGGTGCTGTGTTTATTATACGTGTACACTGCAGGGTGTTTGTTTTTGAATTTGCGTTACTATCTCTAGGGAGAGAGAGAGTCCGCCATAGAAGTATAAAATACTCTACTGTAATAACATATTTATTATACAGAGTGTTGTGTCATTGCAGTATTTCGTGGTGAATATTAGACGACGACAAAAAAATTATTTCTCAAGAGATGAGTTCTTATGCCTTTTCAGATGACTACAAAACAACAATCCTTAGACCAGATGGCCAATATTTTTCTGTGACTTGGCTAATTAATTTTTATTCATCACTTTAAAGAGCAAAAAATAAAATGTTTTCAATTTATATTAATTTTAGTACCGTTCCGCTATTGAATAACCAACAACATAAAACTAATAAGTGAAATTTATAAACGTAATTTATTTTTTTCATTGATCATTTTATGCATTACTTATTAATTTACTTAAATAACTGTTTAATCAAATGTATTAAATGTTAAGAATCAATATTGTAGTTAATATACTTGACTTAATAGATGAGCATTTATTTTTCTATGGTTACGCTAAAAGAAAAATATCCATTATCTGTTTTTAATTTCAATAGAGTTAAATAATAATAATAATATAACGTGCATTTTGTTTACTGAACTATTAATGTATTTCTATTAGCCAATGAAAAAAAGCCAACTATTTTTCACAATAAAATTGTAAATAGTGTAAAAAGCGCAAGCTAATTATATAAAATAATAATATTGATAGTATATTTTCAATGATTTCAACTCATATTTGATGATGGGTAGTTACAGACGCTGATGAACATTCAACACAATTGGCCACATGACAAGAATCTGCAGGTTCGAGTAGAAACGGGGGCATATAAAACGGTGGAGCACATGAAACTCCTGAAGATTGAGTCCTGAATAAAATGAATTAATTATTATTTATATTCACTAATGCACTTAATTTAACTATAAAATACATTAATTTAGTTTTAAATTTAAAAAATCTAAATATTTAGCTCGCGCTGACAACCCCCAAATGACGCCTTTTGGGAGTGTATTGAGTGTGCTGCCCAACATATTAGAATAATAATAAATTTATAACGTGAAATTAAAGTCAAAGGCGAGGCTTTAAAATGTATAATATAAAAGTAAATTCTATAAATTAAAGGTGTACTTAGTTTAAGTAAACTAAATATAGATACGTATGTGGGTAATATTTTTCTTAGGTAAACAATATATACAAAAATACCGGAATATATCCGAATAAGAACTTTAATGATACATGAGTTATCTTGCATGCATAAACTTTTAGTAGAAAATAATTGTATTTAAGAAAAATACAATCACTAATTATTGAATTTCTTATAGACTTAAATGTATTTTCTAAGAAAAAAGAGTATTTATAAAACGGCAGCGAACGACTAATGTGTGTAATTTATAATGTAAATATAAATCTATTTTTGAAACTGAATCAATATGTTGGGTATATTTTAATGGATGTGTCAATCAATTGGTATAATTTAAATAACATTGAAATACCATTAAACATTAGATAACAATAGTTTTTTTCAAATACATACTTGATTGTAAATCACTTAATAAATCAAATGCATGTATAAAATGTTTATATGCAATTTATACATACATTTTTTTAATATTGACAAAAACCGTAAATTAGTCATTATTTCACTCAATCATTTTTAATACTCTTTCAAAAAGACTCTACCTATTTTAAACTTCAAAGATTTAATTATTTTATTTTAATTTTTTTATAAATAAATTTGATACTTGAACTTTGGCGTAACTAGGTGTGGACATGGGAGTCTAGCCCTCTTAAGCTTCATATTAGCCCCTTGACCTCATGGTTTTTAGATATTGGTAATTTTATAAATGTCTACTTAATATGTTATCATAGTTATTTTATAGAGTGTTCAGTAAGTATGGAAATGGGTTTCTATTGTTCTCATTGTTTATAACAATTGACCTGTTTCCTTACTTACTCAACACTCTGTATAATGTTGAAAATATATATTTGAGATAATTAAAAATTAATTATTTAAAATAAAAAATAAATAAATATTATACAACAGAAAGTTCATTTTAAATAAGATGTTACATGAAAAACTTTATTTCCAGAGTACGACAAAATAGATATGTTTTACACATAATGTTATTCGTTAACCGCATAACTTAGAACTGGGGTCGTGATTAATCGATTTAATTGAGATAACTAAAGCAAATAATTAGGTAGAGAACATAAAGCTTCAAAAAATTAACTTATGTACACATATCATTTGATAAAAGTCTTAATAAAATATATGTATTTAAATTTATAATAAGTCAAACATACCTTAAAAGTAAAAAAAAATCTAAACTTTTAAAATATTTAATACAAAGTTCTGAATTTTAATTTATTATGTTATAAAAAACCTGTGCCTAGATTGTCTGTTTTGATGTATACACAGTATACAAAGTAGGTCAAAATGTATGGATACGCTTATTTTGAACTACATCTCTCCTAAGTAAGATGTAGTTTTAACCTTCCATTTTTATTCTACACTATTATTAATTTTAATTACAACCTAAATATTAAACAATATACAATAATGTTGGTAAATATATTTGAGATTAAAAATACTTAATTATCACTTTGAACTCTAAATAAAATGATTAGGAATTTTTTTTTTCATTAAAAGTGTTTTAACTATGATTGAAACAAATCAAATTAAATTTTCCTACCTAAAATGATGAAAAAATGTTGTTGTTGGTTCTGGTACGTGGTATGTCAATCTTGCAGCCAGTTGTCTCCTAGCATTCTGATGAGCAACTGGAGGTTCTCGGTGTAAACCCCACGGCATAAATGCTGATCCAATATTTGCTGTGGTTGATTCATTTTTTTCTATAACAAAATTGTAAATTTAATTTAAACAAAATTTAAATATTGTAATATATTAACCATTTATGGGATTAGTGTGGATGATCATTGATCTTCTAAAGAAAATTATGTTTTTAAAGTATTTCAGAACAAGAAAATGCAGTCTATTAAGAGATATACAAGAACAATAATTTCCAATTTTTTTAATTTCAATCAAAACTATTTTTAGTTACCAGAATATATTTTCTTAGTTTTGGAAGCAATTGCCAAAGTCTTACACAGCGGCACACAATGTTCTATTGCCTTAAGAAGATCATGCTCACAACGACGAAGTACTAACTCTAAAACTGAACGTTTTTTATCTGGGAACAACCGACACAGTAAGTCAAGAGATCCTGGAGGCAATGTAGCTTTGTTACTTGATGAGATTTGGAGAGTAGTAAATTGTTTGTCATTTGTACGGTCAGATTCTTCCTCTGAAGCTTTATAAAAATAAAACAAGATTAAATATTTATTAAAAATATTAGGTACGTTTCATTCGAATAAAGTACATATTTACATACTACCGGGAGATTTAGACGCTGGCACAGTCATACCAAAAATAGGACCTTGTGGTAAACATCCATATTTAGTTCCTGTAGTGGCTGTAGCCAATCCTAATGCTATTGCATCTTCAGCAGCTTGTTGCCTTTTCAAAGCAACCTAAAAACAAATAAGTTGTGTTGTATGTATAGGTGTAATTTTAACAAAATTCTTGGAGGTGCTCATTATATATATTTTTCCTCATTTAAATTATTTTTTATATAAACTTATATGTTATTTATCCCTCGAAACCTCCTGCAATTTGCGTTTATAGTAATATGTTTAAGATTCGGTTGGAAACAAATTATTTTAATTGGAAGCTATTTTAAGTATTATTATATCATTAGATACAAACATCATTAAGAAATTATCTTTATATAAGTGTGGTCAGACTACTCAGTCGAAGGACCACATTAAACTTATTATTATTTAATTTAAGTGTTTTAAAATTATATATATATATATATAGAGAGAGAGAGAGAGAGAGAGAGATGGAGAGTGTTCAGTAAGTAAGGAAACAGGTAAGTTGAAATAATATTGACAGTTGACATACATTTTTTGTAGAATTCCATTTTGTTATTTCTATAAGTAGACAAAATTTAGTTTTTTTTTTTGTTAAAATAATTAAAAATAATATATAATTTTCTTATAAATAATTTTTGAAGAAATATGGTTCAATTTTCAGACGTAAACAAATTGAAAATATTCATTAAAAAAAAAACAAATTTTTTAAAGAAATTTTTTGTATTTTGTTTCTTGGCAACATAAAATAAAACGCTATTATTCACTTGATGGCAATATTGATTACCTCCTAGTTAAATTAATCAATTTTGGGATCCCTAAAATTTTACTAAATTATGCCACGAAAGCCCTTAAACTGAAGAATTATAATATCGTTGTTTATAATGATTTTCTTAATCCTTGGGTGTTTTAATACTTTTTAAGACTAATGTATTTAAGACTCTTGTTTTGCACTCTTAAAAATTAAAAACAACTTTATAACTATTTCTTTTTTCTCGTCACGACACCTTAATTCCTCCCTCAAATTTAATATTGAAATAATCATACTGTCTAATCATAACTACTTTTCTTTACTTATTCAATTTAATAACTAAATTGTACATAACGTATTAAAAAAATTGTTTGACAATTATTAATTATTAGTGTATTACCTGAGCTGCCATTACTCTCTGTCTTTCAGCAATTAAATTGCATTTTGGACAAATACATTCCTTGAACGAACATCGCTTTTTGTGACCTTTTAACCAAGATATAACGCCGTGATTTCTACACCTTGCACATTTAGGTCGTCTTCCTTCGGTGTTGTCCATGCTTGTAGCAAATTGAAGATAATGCGACCACAACAAAGATTTCGACTCGGAAGCTGTCAAAAAAATGTGAAAACGCCACGAAGGCGGAGTCGATTTACTATTGGTTGACTTCAAGCCAGCAATATTGGATTTTACAGCAAAGGTTTCGCCTATATATTTAGTAAAATACATATTTTTTTCTAAACTATATGGTTAAATATAGTAAACATACGCGTGTAAAGTATATGTTATAATATAAAATATTATTTTGTATTCCTTTATTATGGGGTAATATATAAATATTGTATGGATATCTTTTTTTCTTAACTATGCAATAAATTAGCATATATTTTTATTATAAGAAATTTTATTATTCATTGTTGATAATATATCTTTTATATGAGATAAAATTTATATGGCATCTAAGGAAAATTACACATAAAATCTTAAATAATTATAAAAAAAGACGAATTTATTTTTAAGTATACACTAACTACCCTTATTTTTAATTTTTATTCGATTAAATTAATTAAATTAACATTTTAAATTTAACGATTAAAAAATAGTAAAATCTCGTTAATTACATAAAGGACAATAGCATTTATGTGAAATAACCCAAGTTTTTGTTGAAACATTTGAAATGTTTCGTGATGCATTGGCGTACATTAGAAGGATATGCATCCAGAAATTTGATTAGACCCCTTAGATCTAAATTTTACTTACACATTTGAGTAAAAGTAGTAATTTAAATAAATTTTAATTGAACTTCAGAGAAATTTGAGTAATATTGCATGGCTAAAATTTCACTACAGACTAACTTTTGAATATATTCAAAAGTTAGTCTGTATAATGTATATTTTATTATATTACCAATATATATATATATTAACAATACTAATATAGCATATTTTTTTGTTATCGTGTAACAAGGAATTTTTGTAATTTAGTTTATTGTATACATTTTAACCCTTCCATCACTGACTGTGTAACGCACTGGTTTTTGAAGTAATAATTATATCATACAATAACTGAGAAATATTTTTTTTGTTGCTTTATAAAAATTCCTTACAAATTTACTGATTTGTATCAATTTAAGATGCAATTAATAGAGACTTCAATTCAGATAATTACTTCCAGTTATTTTATCTTATTAATATTATTTGTTAAATTTATGTTTTTTTGGCAATTAAATTAAATTTAAAGAAGTCCAGATGCTCACTCTGTTTTTTTTAATCCATACTCCGGATAGTATATGTATTATATATATGTACTACTATTTTATATTTATACTATTGTATAAAATTTATTTGAATTAAATTACTTATACCAAAAATAGTTCAAATTAAATTTTACTAAATAGCGTATTAAGAAATTGATAATGAGGGCTAAAAAATAAAATTCAACTGACAAACTACGATGAAAACTTATATTACCAATTTTTACTCATTTTGAATTGATTGAAAGCAAAAAAAAAAAGGTTAACATACATTTTTATATTAACATAGCATTGTAAATTGGAGGGAAACATGCCCGCCCATCTCTCTGGATATGCCTCTATTTTCATTATAATTACATTTCAAGATAACATAAGTAATAACGTTACACCGTGTGTTTGAAATATTTAATACATAGGGACCTCATAATTCGTTTTTATTCTCACACAAATATTTAAGATTGTCGAATATTTTTTAATAAATAAATATTTCTAATTTTGGTTATCTTAAAATCATAAATTTCACTATTATTAATAATAATGCATAAAAAATAAATTATAAAAAGTAAAGTACAGTAGAGATCCAATAAAATAGAGGTGAAACCTTTTTTATATTAGTATTGATTGATATCTAACAGTTATTTAAATCACTTTCGTAAACGCTTCAATCAGTGTTTGAAACACATAAAAATAAAAATGAATATATGTACCAAAAATTATATGACTTTTTACTTAAGAGGTTGATTACTCATAAATGATAAGTCGACGGCACTTTTTCCTCTTTTTAATCATATATTACACTAAACAAGTTTTAACTTTGAATGATGAAATCATTTCGTTATTATACATAACATTACAAAATCAATTAATGTCCGATTACTACTAGGAATTGAAATTTAGGATAGTTTTTATTTTTTTATTTTTAAGTACGTTGTATTATTTATCATTTGTATGTTTAAAAAGATAAATTTTTTTGAACCTTATCTAAAATTTAAAATAAAAGAATTTTTTATGATTTTTAACCCCCACAGAGGCTTGGATAATTATTCATTTTTCAAAAAAAAAAAATGTTTTTAGCAAGGCAAAAGTTTAATGTATTATTAATAAAAATTTTTGTAAACATCCGTCTAGTATTCAAACAATATTTCAATATAAAGTGAAAACTAAAAATATATGTTGTATAACAAGGACATTTCTCTTTATTATCGGGAATGAGGGAAATTTTTTTTAAATTATAGCGCTGATAGCTATAAAAAATACCAAATTATTTGTGGCTCTTTCCAGTTTTTCTCGTTATATAATCGTTTAAACTAAAAATAAACTGCATCACAGAACTCCCAGTAAAATTTCAATACAAATTAATGGGTCACACTAAAGTGAAATTTTTTTCCAATTTTGAACCCAAAGTTCAGGAGAGGGCACGAAAGTTACAAAAAATTGAGTGACCACTCAATTTATATGAGAATTTCGTGGAAAATACCGTTGTGATTTTTATTTTTTATTAAAATAAAATTTAAAGTGGGGTAACCGGAAAACCCCCAATTTTGGAGATAGGAAATTTTAGTTTTCGATTTCGCTATTTTTAGGTCCTACTGAATATCACCCTACTACTCGTGACATACCATTTACTAACACCCTGTATAGATTTAACATACAGAAGTAGAAGTCGATGGAGTAATATTTGGGTCATCAATCATCTCTTCTATTACATGAGTCTATTTAATAAATTTTCTAATGGATGCTTAGATTTAATATGTCTAATTAAATTTGAAGTCGAAGAATGATTATTTTTTAATTTTATACGACAAAGTCCACACTTTACATAAATATTAACTGCTTCAAGCTGAAAAAAATCCCAAATAACACTTGATTTACTCATTTTAAAATGAAATAAAATACCTTTGTAAATTAAATAAAGTGTTTCACAATTTTCGATTTTGTGCACAAGATTTATTGTAATCACAGGAAACAGTGTTGAAACAATGAGTAAAATTTTAAATAAATGAGACTAGATTATACATAATATGTCAGTTTTTAGAACAATATTCATTCAAGAATAGATCTGTAATTGCATGCAAGATAATTTTGAAATATACGAGAGAAGATACCTATTTTTCTCACTGCATGTACTAAACATTAAACATTGATAACACCTACATTGTATTTGTATACCTAATTTAACACATAAATAACTCTATATGTTGATGTTAATAATAAAAAAAAATAGTTTTTTTAGATTTTAAATTTACTCTTTATATCAATAATAATTAACAAATTTATATATAATTAGTAAAAATATTTTATAAATATCAAATAACCAAATAAATTATTTTTTGTGTAACTATTGTGGGTATGTATTGAGAATCCAAAATTTTAACAGAAGAAAAAAGGAATCAAACTATTGAATGATTATAAGTTTTAACTTAAAATAAGCTCAACCATCTTATAGGTAAAAATCAGGGTTTGAGGCTTATTATCTCATAAAATTATTAATTAGTAATAATCAACTACTTTTTCCATAATGTACATACAATTTGAATTTGATTCTCATTTCTTTCGCGCTTTAATTTAATTTCAATATATATAAACAAATGAGTAAAATAAATTATTATTCACATTTGTGTAAAACAATAATTCATTGATATTTCATATTTGATATTAATATAGCTAAGATAACTATTAAGGCGCATTTAGAAGGCACTCTATGAGTATGCCTTGCGAGTTGCGAGTTGTAATTCGCGTTCCACAAACTTCTACAACTCACAAGTCAGAATCGCGCCTTTTAAGATTCGACGATTTGGGAGTTGCTCATTTGAGTGAACTGATTCTAATGTACAGATTCATATCAGTGAGTCAAAAATCCCATCTCTAATAATTTAGAAAATGGGTATCTAATTGACTAAGGATAAATTTGCTTTTAGAGATATTACACTTATCGTTATCATCATATAATATCAATGACTTATCTATCATATTCATGGTAATGTAATTTACAAATTTTTAATCATAGTAAAATTAATAAACGCATGTATAAGTTCTAATAGTACTATTTTTTAAAGTTTCGTTCTTGTCGCAATCATGGAAGTGGATATGGATTTGAAAAGAGTAAGATACTATGTCGTCATTTAAAACTAGCAATTGTACTTATATGACACTTGTTTAATTACTATATAAATAGCTTAAGTTTATTCTCTTTATAGCTATATGTTTATATTTTTATTCTATTGTAAGGAATTGATTTAGAATAATTAAAGTATTAGTTAACCTATTTTGTTTGATTATCTTTATTTTATTTTATTTTTAATATTGATTCAGATCATGATTACATTAATATATAATTTTAATACAATGTAGTGTTTTTCTAGGCTTTTCATGAACTTCAAGAAAAACTAGTATATACTTCCCAAAAAATCAAGCTTGCTGATTTACAAATTGAAACATTACGACGTACAAAGCAACATAATCTTCTTACGAAACAAGAATTAGAGGTATAAATATCCTAAATTTACTCAATAACTTAATTTTAGTGATCAAATCTCTAGAATTGCCTATGATAAATTCAGGATATTTCAATAAATATTCTTTATTTAATACTCGGCACAACTATTAACAACCTTTTTTTTATTTCCTTTCCGTTTCTGGTGTTTAGATAAACCAGATACCCTAAGGTAAACTAGTATTACTAGGGAAGACATAAATACATTGGTTTCCCATTGTCATCTGCATTGAGGACATGGTCCTTTTTGCTACTGTAAAACGCAATTATGGTCATCCATCTGTACACTATAATGGCAGGCATGCCTTAATACTGGAATTTTGTCATCATCCAGTGTGTCTACCCCATCACACCACACTTATAATATTAACAACTAATTAAGTTAAATTGATTATTTACTCGATAAAACTAAACAAGAAAAATATTTGCAAAGAAAGTTCTCTTTTAAATTCATTATGCTGAGTTATAAATTATTAATTCAATCAGATTAATGTAAAGGAATGAATTTTTTTTTGTTTTAAATTAGTGTTACAAAAAATCATAATTATAAAAAAATTTTTTTAGACAATACCTAAAGATGTTAAAACCTATGAAGCTTTAGGAAGAGCATTCATATTAACACCAAGAGATGATGTATTTAAAAACTTAAATAAAATTAACAATGATACTGAACAAAAAATTAAAACTCTAGAAGTAATTAAACAACTATTTAAATATAATATTACATATTTTGTCATTGATTATTTTTAAATATGAGTTTTCATTTTTAATTATAGAATAGTAAACAATATTTGGATAAAAATTTAAAAGAAAGTGAAAATAATTTAAGAGAGATGGTTCAGCGTAAAAGAGAAGGAGATAAAGAAACTGAAAAATCTTCTGCTGCTAGCTCAAAAGCTTAGAATATATTCTATATTAATTTATTTTATTAATTAAAACCCATTAATTTTTCAGCCTTTACTATACATTTAATAAAATAATTCAAATAATATTGCAATATTAAATTATGATAATTTTTTCTTAATGTATTACTAATAATTAAAACATGAAACTTATATATTTATTTTTGATAATTTAAATATTGTATTTGAACAAATCAAAACAAAATAAAATTAACTCTTTTCTTGTTTGTTAAAACATTCTTGCTTTCTTTTTTATTACTCTATGGTTGAAATTAATCATATTTTTATTTGTAATATTCTAACTAATAACTGCTATGAAATAAATATTTTTTTTATACCAGCCTATAATGTTAAACATTATTTAAATATTTTTTCTACATTTCCAATATATGAGTAAAATATTATACATATTTTAAAATTATTTAACTAAATCATATTTCAAACATGTACACATTTTTTTGTGTGTGGTACATTCTTTAAGGATATAGTGTTGAGTGTTTATTCTCATTATGGAAAATATTTAGATTTAAATAAATTTTGTTATTATTTTTGAATATTTATTATCAGTTTTTATTAATTCAAATTTTAATATCAAAATGTTTGTAAGTTTGATACAATTTTTTTAGTCAATAGTTTTTAACAAATTTAAAAAAAATAAAGTTTTGTACCTCCCTTTATTTTTACTTTTTTTAAATTAAATAAATAGTGTACTATTTACACTATTTATTTAGTCATAAAAAAAAATTGGGTATAAAAATAAAAAATATATATTGTAGAATAAAAATGGACCTATTATGTTAAAACTGTACATTTTGCCCTTCATATATAAAAACAAAAAAAAAGGCAATGTTAAAAGAATTAGACCTCTAAAAGCTGTTCTATATATTAGAGACCTGAGAAATCTGGTACTGTTTATTCTTGTAGATGAGTTGAAAAATTATTTTATAAAATATAAGGTATTTAAAATGTGTAATTGAACTTTTAATCTATTTGTATTCTAAATTTATTTCTATAAGATTTTGATATTATTTAATTTGATAAAAAATGAATTTCCCACAAGTGAGTTAAAATGAATATTAGCTAGAATACATTAATATTTAATTAGTTTTGAAATAATTGATTAATTGCACCATAAATACGTATTTTGTCTCGGCATTGCTACAAAATCATTTTATATTATTAGGAATTCAGGGGTATCTTACGTTTTAAAAAAATTCTTAGCAACTCTTAGGCGAAATATGTATTTTCCCAAACGTTGAAATAGTAATAAAATATAACTTTTGTTAACTTATATCTGTATTAAAGGGAGTATATATGAATAAAAGAAAAGTATTAAACAGGTGAGGATCTATTCACCCCAAGAAGTGTTTCCCTTCCACTAATAACTCCACTTTTCTAAAGGGATATTTTGCTCTTCGAAAATATAATTTCATTTAATTAGAATATTTGAAAATTTTAAGCAATTCAGATAAGGTGTTATAAAAATAATATCCAATATACATCACCTAATATATTATATTCGGTAGTAATCATTATAGTTCAAATAATAAATAACACCTCATAAAAATAATTATACGAAATTGAGCACATATTCCATATTGACTAACCGGTGCCTTAACTCCACCCTATTTTTGTATTCGTATAATCGATTCTCGGTTCCATTTTATAACATCGATAATATTGCTATTTTTATTCAATCATTCTAAAAATATTATAAGTACATAAAAAAATATATTTTATTACTTTTAACATTCTTTATTGTTAATTTTAATGAAACTTCCTGTAATTTCATTTACCCTTAATAGCAGTATTTGTTAAATTGTATTATCGTTATCTAGAGGTTATAAACTATCGCAAACGTCGATAAGTAAGCGATTATATAAGGTCTTAACAGTCGTTAAATTTTCTCGGCACTTAGCGTTATTGATTAAGTCTTTTTAATATTGTAAGAGTATCAATTTATTGTGTTCATATTCTTTGAATGTTTTTTTATTTATGTATCAGTGAATAAGTCTTATTACTGACTAAAAGCTACAATATCAAACGTAAAATGGGCAACCCTAAAGTATTTTTTGATATGACTGTTGATGGCGTCGACGCTGGTAAAATTGTTATCGAGGTATGTTTTAGTTTTATTAATATATTTTAATTGAAAATTCTGTCAAATCATATAAATGATATTTTGATGAATATTAAATGACTTTATTATTTGATATTTCTTAAATTATGGTTTTTCAATTAATTGCAAATTTTCATGTTTAAACTTTTTAACTATAATTTTTTTTTTAGCTACGCAGTGACGTAGTACCCAAAACCGCTGAAAATTTCCGTGCTCTTTGTACTGGTGAAAAAGGCTTTGGATACAAGGGAAGTACTTTCCATCGTGTTATTCCTAATTTTATGTGTCAAGGGGGGGATTTTACTCACCACAATGGAACTGGTGGCAAATCAATTTACGGAAATAAATTTCCAGATGAAAACTTCCAATTAAAACATACAGGACCTGGTAATATATTTAATAGTATTTTTATAACTATCATTTATAAAACTATATTTTAGGTATTTTATCAATGGCTAATGCTGGACCTAATACGAATGGCAGTCAATTCTTTATAACTACTGTAAAAACATCTTGGTTGGACAATAAACATGTAGTATTTGGCTCTGTTGTTGAAGGTATGGAAGTTGTGAAAAAACTGGAAAGTTATGGAAGTGATACTGGCGAAACAAAGAAAAAAATTGTTGTTACTAACTGTGGAGAACATTCATCATAATTTTTTTACATCAATACTTAATTTCTTTCTCAAAGTATTAAGTTAATGTAAAGGAAATAATATTTCATTATTAATTGATTATTAAATACATCTAATTCATACATATTTTTAAGTTTTATAGATTATTATTTATTGATGTATATTTTATAACTTGCAGATGGTCAAATTTAGAAGAAAAAAAAATTACAACTGTATTTTTTTTTAACTGTTAAAAACTATTTTAGTAAGCATTGTCAGAAGTAAAAAAATAATAAAAATTAACAATACATATAAGAAATTTTTTTTATCTATTAGTTAATATTAATTTAGTTATATAATATTTGAATAACTAGAAATTAAAGTTTTTAATGTGCAAATTATAAATCTGAGTAAATCTAAAACTAAATGTGTTAATTACGCAACCTTAAATTTTAATTTTGTATTTTTGTCTAATTCTAAAGAAAAATGCCTATTTGTGGAGAGTGTATAGATTCATTTATGAAAAAAAAATTATTTGAATTTTAATAATTTTATTATGCATGAAATAATTGATACAATTTTTGAATAATAAGTATTTTAAAATAACTTTTTTTATTTCTATATATTTTTAAGTGTTTGGTAAAATTTATAACTATTCTAGAACACTAATGAATAATTTTCTTAGGTATAAATACAAATACAAAAAATTATCTAAAATTAGTCAATAATATTATTTTAGATACAATATTTTACCATTTATTCATTGCAAAGTACTGATTATCAACTTAAAATAAAAATGTATACAAATTTTGTGAAGGTTAAATATTGTCAGATAATTATATAAAAAGTAGACAGTTCAAATAATACATATTGTATAGTTAAATATTTATAGGATAATTTTTGAGAGAATAAATTAAATAATAAAAAGTGGTTGATATAATAAAATTATATCGATTTTTTAAGATGAAATCTTTAAAGTTCATTTACTTATTTTATACATTGTATATTAATGAATTAATCACTTAATTCTTATATGAAACATTCATGTGGTAGTTATTATATTGATGAGAAAAGTCTCCATTCCTTAAATTTTAATATTGTATGAGTTGGTTAGAGACTGAATAGTATTCAGAAATATCCAAAATATTTTCTTAAAATGTCTTGGTAAAAATTAAAATTTGTCAAACGGACCTTTGTGCATTTACTTCAAAGGATATTCATTTATAAACTCTTTGGTTATTTCATATAATGACGAGTTTTTTCCTCTTTGGATTGTAGCGCGTCAATAGTATCCTTAGGTAACTGCCGCATAACCTATAAAACAGGTTGATGAAATCACAATGGCGACTACCGCGTTCCGCTTGTTCGTCCACCGGCCGCTCCATCAGTTCTACGGCTCCACTCCATTAAATCACTTCGGGAATTTTGGACTCGCTAGTCGCTCATATTCCGCTAAACCAAAATCAGCCAAAATGAGTTTACCTAAAGTATTTTTTGATATGTCCGTTGGTGGTCAACCAGCTGGCCGTATTGTAATCGAGGTAAGAATATTAAAAAAGATTAATTTATCCCAAAAAACATGTCGCTCTTTCTATCTATCAACCCACGTTTTTCATGTGTGTTCAATTCTTACTAATGTCAATGATTTTTATGTTTCTATTATATCTATTTTGTTAGTATAATTTTGTTAGTATAATTTTATTTCCTTATAACTTATTATTTGAAATTTTTAATAAAGACATTTTACATAAATTGGAACATGAAGATTTCACACCTCGTGTTAACGGAAAATTTCAATAGAAATTGAGGTGCTCTTAATTTCAATTTTTTAACTGAAGCTATTAAGGTTTACTATAATTTAAATAATGATTTAATTGTGTTAAAATATTCCCGAATTCTTGTTATCAATAGAATAATTGTATTTAAACTTGTAATGTATTAAAACTTGATATTTTAATATAAGAGCAAATAATTACAATTACCTGTATCTACTGAAACTTAATATAAAAAATATTAATTTTGATAGCTTCGAAGTGATGTTGTACCAAAAACTGCTGAAAATTTCCGTGCCTTATGTACTGGTGAGAAAGGTTATGGTTATAAAGGAAGTATTTTCCACCGTGTCATCCCCAATTTTATGTGTCAAGGTGGAGATTTTACTAACCATAATGGCACTGGAGGTGTTTCAATTTATGGAAACAAATTTGAAGATGAAAACTTCACATTGAAGCACACTGGACCTGGTTTGTTATTTTTAATAAATTTTCAAATATATACCTAATAAGTGATTTGAAATACTAAATAATCATATTTATTGTTCAAGACTTATTGTATTGAAAAATTTGTTTTTAATTAACATAGGTATCATGTCTATGGCTAATGCTGGTCCAAATACTAATGGTAGTCAATTTTTCATTACCACCGTCAAAACTGCATGGTTGGATAATAAACATGTTGTATTTGGTTCAGTAGTAGAAGGTATGGATATTGTCAAAAAAATTGAATCCTTTGGTTCACAGAGTGGCAAAACTACCAAACAAGTAGTTGTTGAAGATTGTGGTGAACTTTAATTAAACAGTTATAATCACATATTAACATCTTGAATGTTCAAAAATAATATGGAACAAGTATATGTTAAGTTAACATTAATTGATATTTAATACTTTTGGTATTTTGGATAAACATTAATACTATAATTTGGAAATAAATTTACATAGTTAATATAATTTGTCTCCGTGGTTTTCTGTTATATCATAATCTTAAATTAAAGTCAATAAAGTGGTTTATATTTTTTATTAAATTTGTATATTACCTTACTTATTTTTATCAAATTAAGCACTATCTCCAAAAGTAATACATTGCATAATATTTTGATTATATTTTACTTATAAAATTAAGCATTGAGTGAAGAATAAATTTTATCATTGGGTAGAGATGATATGAATGGTACATAGAAAATATTTTTTTAGTTTAAAATTTGAATAATATCCAATATCTTTCAACTTTTTACTTTTTCTACCCTTAATTACTTTTACATCTCAGTTTTTAATATATATATTCGACCAATTAAAAGTCAAATAAAAGGTATGTTATACTAACTTTTCTGTACTTTATACCCAGAAAAAATTAAGAGAATAATCAACATTAAACATCTAATAATAATTAATGAAGAAATAAATTTGACATGCTTCTAGTATTTTAAATGATTGTTTATAACATTATTCGAAATTTTAGTTACAAATATTTTTTAAACTAAATATATACAATTTGTGATAGCAGAATAATTAAATTTTTTAAATTACAAAGCAAATACTGGATGGAATTTTCTTTAAATAAGAATGCTTGGAGATATTTTCATGACGGTAATGATTTTTAGGAGCAGTATATATACGTATGTTTTTATTTGATGAACAAGGCAAACATTTTATAGCAATTTTATGTTGTAGATTTGCTTTGATAATTATTAAAAATATAAAAAAGATATTATCAAAACTTAATACATTCAATTATATTATATTTGTATTAAAAAAAAAAGATTCGGTTATGAAGTTAAAAAATAATTAAATATTAATTGAAAACAAATTGTAATTATGGAAGTAAATTTGGCTTGTATCCATGATTAAGACTGGGTTTAAATTTTAAATAATCATAAAATGATTATTATTATATTATATATATATTATACATAATATTTGAGAATAATGGATATTTGTATTTTTTTTACTCCTTTAAAATTAAAAATTATTTTAGATATTAAAATAATTAGTTCAACACAAAGCGCCCTTAAACTATACAAATCTTCTTTTTTTGAACAAAACCTGTGATATTTTTCCTCTTGGGTACAGAAATTGCTAAAAAGTAATAATTTATTGATAATAAGGCTGCATAAGCCGAAATTTATGGTACATCATTGGATTTTTTAATAAATAGGCAGAAAATCTTTGTCTATTAAACATTTCAAAATCTTAAAAAATTTCCTTTGATCATTCTTGATTATAATACCTCTTAATTTTTTATTTTATCATAGTAATGTTTTAAAGGGAGCGAATTATGATTATTTTTTTATAAAAAATGCTTAAAATAATTGCTATTATACAATATGTGTATACTGTGTATGTAGAATACAATATAGTAAAGTTTACATCACATTGTTACTTTAATTCCACAAATAAAACAAAGATAACACCAGCTATACAAAAATTTGCTTTTTATTATTTTATTAAAAAATTCAATAATTGATGATTGTATCACATGTCTTTTTAATTATTCTAAAAAAATAGTTGAAGTAACAAAACAATAATGAAAAAGAAAAATTATTGAACTAAATGTTAATTTTTTCACTTGAAACTGAACATTCTAAATTTTCATTAATTAAATAATTTGCTATTATAACAGTCCAAGCATGCCCATCAACTTTTTTGCAATATTTTACATAAGACTCCATATTAGAATCACGTTTTACCAAGAAAATGGTATTATCTTGAGGTTTGCAAGCAAATTTCTAAGAAAAAAAAATAATTTTTTATATTAAAACATTAAAAAATGAAAAAAACTAATTATTTTATGGTTACTGGTTGCAATGTATGACGTTCTTCAAATACATAATGGAGATCATCTTTAATAGTATCAGACATTTCACCAAAACACTGACTAAAAAATAAGTATACACTTAACACATTCAAATGATCCAATCCATCATTACCACCAGATACCATATAATGGCCACCATGCCATCTTTGAACTTCTATTGAAACTATAATATATATATATATAAAATTTAGTATCAGGAGAAGATGAAAGAAAAGTAATTTTACCTCCAGAAAAATTTAATCCAGTACATTCTTTTAAAAAATCAAACATGAAATCAGTCTTCATCACATTTACAACAAATAATACTTTAAAAGGCAGTTCATTAAGATTAACATATTTGTAATGCCTATTAGTAATAATTAACAATATTATTAATGATTAAAGAAATATAATTATGAAAAGGTAATTTTGTTTACCGTTTATTCAAAGGCCCTTTAACTTGCCACAGTAAATCATTAGAGAAAATCTCATTGGAAAGAATATCTACCATATTTTGCTTAAAAAACCCTTCCAACATTATATAGCCATCATTATTAAACATTTCACGTACTGCCTCCCTATAGTCGGGATCCTCAAAAATAGTTTCTATACACATTGATGCACAAGTTTTACTCTATAAATAATATTATTTTGAAAAGTAGCAATTTTATTAGTTAAGTTAATGAATTTACCCTAGAAACTTGAATTGGTAGATATATAGGACTTGGTAATTCAACTTGTTGATCATAGGGTTTCCATACTAAATTATCACAATGAAACCAACCATTAATTGATATTCGAGAAAAATTAGATACATTTTCAGCAACCTAAAATATATACATTTTAATAATTAGTTCAAGTATTTCAACTATGATCCTTACCTGATGATAAGTATCTTGCCCTACAGGAAAAAATATCATAGTATTAAATTCAGGATTGATACTATTTACTATTTCTTTGGCATTAAAATTTGAATCTGAGGAATATACATCAAGAGTTCCACCCCATTCATTCAACCAATCGTAATTTAAGTAGTAAATAAACGCTACTGATCTATCATCAACTCTATCATCATGACAAAGTAAATAATCTATAGTGTAAGAAAAATATGTTACAAAGTACATTAAAAAAAAATGTCAAAAACGATTTTATAAAGTAATGTTTATTTAATGAAAACAATATATAGAAAATTAATAAAGTTAGTTAACATTTACAATATTCATACATTTAAAAATTCATTGAACTACCTAATTAAATAAAATAGATTGGATAAATAAAAATGAAATGTTTAAACAATTAATTTTAATAATATTATCATAACAATTGAATAATACTAATATTTTTATTTTAAATCTATAGACTAAATTGTATTTAATGTGCCACGGTAAATTAGATTGTTTAGAAAATTTAAATAATTTTTAACTAAATAGATTTATTCCTTAATTCTTCATATTTTATTATTTCTTTAAAAATTATTCGTTATACATATTATACAAGAAAAAAAATAGTTAAAAGTTGACTTATTCATTAGTTAGAAAAGTTTATTATTAAACATTATTCCCATTATTCAAGGTCCAAGGAAAATTTAATTAGCTATCTGTTTCAGCATTATTAATACTTTTCAGTAATTTATTGATTTATTAATTTTTCATTTTTTGTAATGATTTATTATTATTTTTAAGTCACAAAAGGATAAGAACAAAATTTTACCTCCTTGATTATACATAGAACATGAAACACTAGTTGTTTCATTAAACGTTTTTTCCAAAAACAAAGCAATTTTTTTCTTTATTTCAGCAAGAACACTTAAGAACTGCTGTACTTCTTTAGGTTTTTCTTCGTCTGTTATACGATAAAAATCTGGTGATTGTTCAAAAGAATAAAGATCACATGATTTTTTCTTAAATTTCATAGTTAATAAAGCTGTGCGTAATTTAAATACATCAGAATTTGATATCATATCTTTACAATCAAATTTGTATATATTAAAAGGTGCATCCAATTTCGTAACTTCATCTAAAAAAATGTAATTAATTTAAACAATGCAAAATTATTACTTTTGATTTAATGGGCAATTCATCTTAAAATAATTGTATAAAATAAAAATACAAAAGTGTGAATCTTTTAAATAAATTATTTATGATACTTACCACTAAATTTGATAGAATCTGCAGAAAAATGAACATTCTTTGTACAACTCATAATTTAGCAATTATACGGAAACTTTGAAATTATTAAATGATAAATAGAATTGGATTTTTAATTTCAGTTAAAAAAATATAATATTGAGTTGTTCATAAAATAAATTATTATTTGTCTTGAATGATGATTTCAACATATTTATTTTAAATCGCTTGAACACAGTCTTTTTAAGTAAATTTACCAAAATTATGATTCAATTTTTATTCTTTAATGAATCTTAGCTAATAAGTGTCTAAATAATTAAAATATGATGGTTCTTTAATATAGTTTGACAGATAAAAAATAAATTTAAATATAACTTGATAAACATAACAAATGTTATCTATTTTTCAAAATGGCTACTATTTTTGCTTGTATTTATATCATATAATAATGATAAGGACTCAACATTTCAAGTCTGGAAAATATTTAAAAAAATTATAACAATACTCAATAGATTGCGCTTGAGCATTGTCCTTCCTTTAACTTATGACAATATAGGCATAAAGCTTAAATAAATCATTTTTACTGAATTTTGAATGATTTTTTACTTGGTAACTTCTAGTGAGTTCTAGTTTTCATATAGTTGGTCTTTTTTCAAATTTTTTCCAATTTCAGTACTTTGTGCAGTTTTAAAAATTTATTTTCATATTGATATCAAGTACGTTAAAAATTTTAATATTTTGTGAATAACTTGTTTTAATTCACGAATTGATTTCATACCGACTTCATTGGCTCTGGGACTGTTACTTTCCTATGCAGCTTAGCTTGATTACATAAGAAGGCGAATATAAAGTAAAAAAAATACCGTATATATTTTAATATTTTCATCTGTCAAATTCTATAAACAAAACTGGTTAGTAAAATTTAAAATGGACTCCGCGGTATCCAAACCTTTTTTAACCTATTTATCAATAAAAATTAACTTACTTATTCATTAATACGTTGACAATATATTTAATTTTCAATTTTTGAATATAGATAGAAAAGGGTATATCTGCTTAGTATAACATATCACTTTTTAATCGAATAATTTATATTGACTGTAAATGAGGAGAAGGTGTATTTATCACTAATAAGGCTATAGGCAGTAGGATAAAATCACCATAAATGCAATTTGGCAGGTTATTAAAGACACAATGTAACTTCGATCAAAATTTTTATTTTTTTATTTACATATTTCGTTACATGTATATTAGAGTGGATAAAAAAAAGTCGATCTCCGAAACTTTAATCTTACACTTTAATTAAAAAAAAAAGGTATAAGGTTTTATGATAAGTGAATAATTTTTTTTTCTATTTATTATATACATAAATATCAGCCAAACTGCATAATTTTTTTTTTTTAATTTTAAGCTTACTTGAGACTTACTAGAAATATACCATATAATAGCGTTAATTATGATATCCACGCTATCAATTTTTAACTTAAAATTTTGAAACTAAAAAATTTGTATTCTACAGTAAAAATCAAACTATTTTGATATACTAATCATAATATTTGATGAAAAATTGAATAACAGAAGTAGTTTTAGCTCCGATGCGAAGCTGAGAAAGTATTGGTTTTACTATGACGTGTTTTTTTTTTTTT